GTGAGGGCTTCATTAACATGAGAATAGTGTTTATGATACAAACAAACACACATACACACACACAATATATATATATATATATATATATATATATATATATATATATATATTAATTATTAGTGTATCTGTTACTATGTAGTTCATATTTAACTAAATTAAATTTGTCATCATACTTTTAGACACGAAAATCTTATAAATTATGTTTATATACATATATTATGTATCTCTCGTAAGAAGTGTTTCGAACTCAACAAGTATTTGAATGAAACCTCTGGATCATTATTACAATGATTCTTAAACTAATTTTACTTATCAAATAAGTTCTAATAGAAATTGCCTCTCTCAAACAAAATACCAACATTTTTTAGTTTTTCGTGAATGAAACTTAATAAGTAATAATATCATTATAGCTTTATGACGAGAAGTGTCGAAACGATCATATTTTTAATTGATAAACTTGAACCAAAGATAAATGTAATGATACAATTATCTTGGCTTGTAAAAATATTCACAAAGTATTATATATATTTATACACATATTATATATTATCAGATAGAAAAAACAGTACGTAACTAAATGCTTGCTGGACACAAATAAACAAACATTGAATTTGTATAGAAGCTATTACAGTAATCGTCTGTTATGAAACTCAGTGCACAGAAATGAGTCAAGACATCCTTCACTGTAATACATATAATGTATATAATAATATATTATATACGACGCGCGACGTTAAAGAATTAGTTCATTTTATTATTAAGTTATGGTTCATATTTATGTTTAACTGAATGGTTAATATGGTTCGTAGTTTCATCATCATCAGCCTATCAGAGCCCACTGCTGAGCATAGCCTCTTCTCACATGGAGAAGGTTTGAGCATTATCAACACGCTTGCTTAAGACGGGTTGGTGATTTCAAACTTATTTTTTGAAATTATAAGTCCACGTTTCCTCACGATGTTTTCCTTCACCGTCTGTCAGTGGTGTTTAAATACTCTTAGAAAGTACATATGACTAGGAAAAATGACATCGGTACTTGCCAGGTTTCGAACCCACACCCTCATGTACGAGAGGCGGGCCTTTAACTTCTAGGCCATAACGAGTTGGGATCGTAGTTTAACGACAGTTAACTTCATCCACGTAAGCTGAGAATATTGTTAATGAAAGTTCTTTTCACTACCAGGAAATGAAGAAGTAACCTATTCAGTGAGATTATTGCTACAAATTATTTTCTAGACTTCACTAGACTTATTTTCAGACTTAAAGTCTCCGAAGTATTCTCTGTACTGACCAAATATAATAATTAATTTCCGTTTTTCACATAATTATAACTAAAACATGATATTTTAATTGCTACAAGTTGTTTATCTAGTCGTATGTTAATAAGAGGAACTTCCTGTTGTAAATTTTAGCTTAGCTTATTATAATAGTTGTTTAGTTGATGGTGTCGTAAAGAGTTCAATTTGATTAATAAGCTGTTTAAATTTAATTGTTTTTGCTCTTAAATCTTTGATTGTGTGTTAAAAGTAGTTTCTAATATATTTATCAAACAAAATATTATTCGTTCTTTCCCTAGATTAATAAATAATTAAATAATAATAACTTCTCAATATTATACACAAGGATTATAACTGGTTTTAACAATAGTGATATCGTTTACCTTAAAGATATTATAGGAAAAACTCAATTAGTGTAATTATTAAAGTTAGTGTTATTATACACTTGACTTAGTTAGTGATCTTAGTGAAGTTTTGAAGCTATAAATAAATCGATAATATATGCGATTGGAAACAATTTTAGACGAAAAAATATAAAGAATTCATCACGATTTTTTCATTTACAAGTATTGAGTGCACAAAAAATATATCAATCCTATTATTATTGGAATCACGTAATTCTAGTTAATTAATGGGATGTTAACTCGATTGACGAATCATTATCATTTAGTACAAGTCATGATCATTAAGTTAGCGTCAATTAGTTAATCAAAACCTCTCAAAGACGAGATGGCTGAGGATTCTGTTGAAGTTAATATCACGAAGCCAGGCTTGTGTTTTTGGTGCATTTTTTACTTAGACTACATCATTTATGGAGTGCTAACTGTGGCTTTTATAACGTTATTCATTTACTTTATGTTTTAATGTAAGTACATTTAAATATAAATAAATTTTAACTTAAATGAAACTAATATTTTCGGATTTACTAGACGAGATGTCTCGTCGTCGTTATCACGGTTGCTGTAAAATAAAGAAACGTCGGGAGTATATAGTTTATAATCAAAAATAAAAGTCGCATAGTAAATCCGAAAATATTATTTTTATTTAAATAAATTGTCTCGAAAATCTTAGATCTTATTCAGTTTTAACTTGATACAAATTGCTTATTACGATTAACATAGAAAGATTTTTTAAAGTTTATTTATTGTATGTAAGAAATTTGGATTAATAAACTTGGTGGATATTTAAACTGTGTTGGAAATTGTTAAAAGATCATTTTAATTTTAAATATTCTCTGCGAAGTAATTTGATGATATAGAGAATTAAAATACTGGAACAATTATTATTAAAAGATTATTCAAAACTGTTTGTCAAGGTTGTATATTTTATTTTTATAAAGTTCAACAGGTCGAGATTATTGTCAACTATTCGCTTGATACATATGCTTTTGTATAACCATTTTTTTGGAGTGAAAAAAAATTGGTACAAAATGATGTCATAATGGTCAAATTTTATTTTAAACTCAGCTCAAACTAGTCGTCTAGTTGATAATATAAGGAAGGTGTTGTTTTTTATGCTTTAGTATGTACATATATAAAATAAGCTTCAATCAATATTTTTTGCATTAAGACCGCATGAGTAAAATAATGGATTTTTTTTGTTTTTCGAATTAAGTTGATAAATCTTAAATTTATGGTAGAACAATGAACTTTCTACAGTTGCTTTGCAAATTAATTTAGTCCCATTTTTGTTAACATTTTTTATTCACCGAACTTACAGACTATATACTTTTTTATCTCAATCAAAATAAAAACTATTAGCAAATAATTATTGTACACAGATATTAAGAATATTTTTTGCGTGATATGATATATAACTTGTTGATTTTATAAAAAGAGGCACATTAACCTGTTAGGTTCATTTTTAACTAACTTCAAGGTTCTACAGTGACGTCTGTTTGTTTAGGCTTGTTCACCAGTGTCTGATTTAGTTAATCTCAGATAATCATAGCAAACAGCTGCCGGGCATAGCATCAGGTAGCAGTGTTGTGTCGCCTTTACTGTTGTTATGTACGGTGAGAGATTTACATTAATTAATTTTATTATACCAATATAATTGGTTTACTTACGTAGTTTCAGAGATTTTTTTCTCATTATAATTATAATAAGAAAAGAGGCAAATTTGTAATAAAAAAACATCGTAATTCATCGTATGAATAAAATTCAAATACACAATATTAGACGAAAAATTCATTAACATGATTGGGAATCGAATCTGCAACCTTCGGGATATAACGTGCCATTTGTTTTAAGATATAATATGTCCAAATATTAACTCCATATCGTTTCAATGTTACAAACAATTATAGGGATAAGATTGATATTAAGTAATTTATTAATTTATAAGGAAAATGAATTTTGTTTTTACATTAAAACAGTCGGGCTTTACAATGACGAGAATCGGTTTTATTACTAAACATATAATATTAAAGAATTTTCCTTTTATTTGGTAGCGAAGGCATAACGAACTCAAAAGTAATGAAGAAGTATGGATTATATATATATATATATATATATATATATATATCTTCTTCTATCTTCTACCTGGCAATTTCCCAGCTTTGGCCAGGGTCTGCCTTTTACGACCGGCCGCCAGCCTAACATCAACCCAATATATTGTATATATGTATATGTATTAATAGTTGAAAGTTATATGTTAAAATGTACTTAATTATAAGTGACACAGCAAACTAATGATTTGAATTTAATAATATTTTTCCTATCTCACTTCATAAATATCTTATTTATCTTTTTACGTAAAGTTTGTTTGACAAAATTTAAAGGTCAAATTAAATGTATATAAAATAACGGATATTTCACTGTCTGTTCGTTTCATGTTACCAATTTATCATCACTTAAACAATTAGAATGATACTGAAGATAATTTAATAAATAGCACGCTTACCACCAGTTGAATGTGTGAGAAACTGTTAATTTTCTACTATGAATGAAAACTCGTCGTTCATAGAAATAGGTAGTGTCATAATGAAATATATGCACTAATTTTATATATTAATATACTACTATATATTATTATTATATCGTCTAAGAGAATATATGTATGCATGCTACTTTTCACGAAATCCTGATAATAGGGTACAACATGCAAAACATATTTCATGTATTACCCAGTCAAATAACTATATATGTACATTTTAATTTTAATATTTGAAGTCTTTATAAAAATTAATAGACAACAGATGATACAGTAAAAAAGAAATTTATTTTAATGAGTTTAAAAGGACAAACTTTATTAGAAGTAAAATTCTGAGCAACATCTTTAAACGTACCTACTTTTTAATCAGATCTTTTACAGTTTTAACGTAAGACTCATATGTGTCATGTTCAATTGTTTATTTTAAATTTACTTAAATATATTTTATTATTTGTTGCTAACTTCTAGGTATGTAACTTATTGGATTAATTTAAAAGTATCAAAATGATTGGGTGCAATCAAAATATTAATAAAACCTATGAATGAATATAATTAGTTCTTTTATTTGTTGTATTCTTGATGTCTTTTCTAATGTACCACAAAACATAAGACACTGCGAGTGGAACTTATCAATACAATACACTAACGATTGTGTTTGAACATAAAACATATTTTGAAAAGAATTTAAAGACGATATACCATATAAATGATATATTTTTGTTATAAAAACATGTTACTATAAATCAAAATTTTGCTCTTCACAGAACTATGAAATAGTAAAGCTCCAAAATGGCAGACAAACAGAATGTTCAAAGCGTCGCTAGAGGACTGAATTCACCAGAACTAAATTCAGACGCCAGCATCCCGTTTGTGGATGAAGTTGAACTTGAGAATATAGAGGAACCAATCAGACCAGCTAGATCCAAAGATGTGGAGGTTGGAGACGGGAGAAGGGAAAGAAAACTTCACGCAACTGATTTAGGAGCAGTTCACACGGCCAATAAAGATACGATAGTTGTCGATACACCAGAAGGGACTTTATATATAACTCTCGATCCAGAATCTTCCAAATCATCAAAACCTACAAGCCCCAGTACATTATCAACGAATGTGTCAAGTCCGACTACATCACACACTCCTGGAGCCCAGGAGTCCAGGGATTTGATCATCGTGGAACAAGATATGGGACAGAGAATGACTGGTTTAAGAAGAAATTCGATATCAATGCCGACCCTACCGAATTTCGAGCTGCTGAAAGAAGAAACAATCTGCGTGTATACGCAAGGTGATGTGAGTATAACTTTATATAATAAAAAATCTTCTTCCTGGCAATTTTCCAGATTTAGCCAGGGTCTGCCTTATATAAAATATGTAATGAAATTTTGATTTCAAATATTAGTTACACACAAACGATAAGTTATGACCGTGATGTGTTTTGATAATAATAGAATAATTACTTATAGAAAACAGCTACTTGATATTCTTAGTGATAAGATATGTCTCCCATAAACTAGATGTGATTCATTTGATATTTTTAATAGATATTATTATGTATTATTGTGTTTGTGATTAAAAACAATTAGTACTTTGCTAGATTTGTAGTTGTGAGGTTCATACATTAAATAGACAAGGTAATATCATTTATATATTGAATATGTACCAGAAACATTAATTTTGCTATTTATATGAAAATTGTTTATCTTTACGTGTTTGTCAGAATTGTAACAATTTTCCCCTTTTTTTAAACCAACAATATTAAATTGTAATGGCAATAATTTTTATGATATAAAAGAATTGAGGATAATAATGAAAAGTTTACAATCAAGGATCATTTTGAATGAAATAGTCTAGCGCCAATGACATTGAAATCCAAGTATTTGTAAAAAAAATCATAACATATAATACAAATATTTTTTTTGGGTATACATAGATCTGTAAAGTCTTTTAATGATTCGTTTTTCTTTAACTCTTTGGATGTTTGAAATTCCAAATGACGCAAAACAAATAAAGTTATCACAATTCTAATTTTCGTCATCGAGATATTCTTTAAACGCTTTATATCGTGTTAAGAACAAGCAACTAATATATTTGAAAGTCGTTACGTTATCACAAACATATTTTTATCAAACAAGATGATAGCAAAAATTTTGATAAACACTAGAACCATAACTTCAGTCACATTTCGTCATTGTCAAGGTACAAATGCTCTTGAAATATATCAAAGTGGCATTCAAGATAGCTCAGATATTGTAACTTTCCTTAAACCCTGCAACTTCCTCGTCCGATCTCGCCAAATTATCCTTGAGATAAGCGTTATCACATTACCAATAACGTAAAACAATATTTAGGGACTGATAGGCTAAAGAACGAGAATGAGGGTAAGAAAGAAGCCAGATCTAAGATTAAACATCCCATCATATCCTCATGATTATGTGGAAATGCCGCCGCGGACTAGAAGGAGGATCCTGGAATCGTGCGGATCTCCTAACGATGTACCAGATCAAGAGGACAAAAGTTTTCAAGTTAACCTTGACATTAATCGGTCTGTAACACCAGAGATAAAGATTTTCAGTCCAGAAGATGATACGATTGATATTAGAGAGGAAAACTCAGCTACAAATGAAATAGGAGATGAAAAAAATGTCGAAGGAAAAAGTACTGTTGACATAAAAAGAGACAACGTAAGTAACATTGTCGAATTTCATTGGTTGTGTTCTGAAATTGCTTAGTGTTAATCATTTTATCTTTATAGCACTGCTGTAACGAGTAAGCGTCATTAATTTCATATTTGTTCTATTTTTAATTAAGTATTTTGATAATTAGTTAGTAAGAACTGTTCTATCGAGCGCCGCTTTTATAAACACCGTGTCCAGTTGTAACCCGACACGCGATACATAAACGAAAAAATCGAGGCACTATAATAAAATTAGGTACGAAAAATCAATCCCAATATTATAAGTATATTTTTTTTTTACCATCATAAATGACTGATTAATTGTACCAGACAAATGACGACAGATATCCACAAATATATATTTAATAACCACTTTAAAAATATCTAGTACTTTCGCGAGTATTAATTTAAATGAAACTAATATTATTCGGATTACTACGCGTATTTTGATATTTAAAAATAATACATACTCCCGACGCGACGTTTCGATTACTTTTCAGCAACCGAGATCACGGGCAGACGAGATATGTCATTAAAAAAATCGTATTATTTTTAGCTAGTCTATAAAATCAGATTATAAGTAAGGACAATGAAAATAGTTATTAGGGAGAAAATACATACCTTTTGGAAATAAAATTTACAAGTCCATTTTGAAACATAATGACCATTAAAAATATGAAGGGACGAATTACAATTATTAAAAATAAGGCATATAATATTTGTATTGAAAAAGTTTTTTGTTAGTAATTTTTCAGCATCTCTAATTTATATTTGAGCAACAATCGTCTGAGAGTCGAGTCTTTTAGATACTTACAACAAATTGGACGACATCCTGTTAAGGGAAGCGAATTCACTATAATATATATTTGTATTAGAAATATACAATTGTTATAACACATATATGTTAAATTTCTATTGAAAAGAGGAAAAGAAAAGAATTATCACACAATACTTAACATCTTTCGTCAATACTCCCTATTAACTATTAGAGATTCCCGAGAATATAACAAGAAAACTTAGATTAAAATTCGTGATATATTTATATTCATAGATACTTAAATGTCTTAAAAGTATTTAACATGGATGAATTTTCATAAAAAAAATTGTTTTTTTTTTTCATAATTGTCACAACGATCAATTTATCCTTTATTCTTTAAACAATGTTCAATATATCTTCAAGTCCCCTCACTACGGTAAGGTGGCCTCGCGTCCTATTTGCCTACATTGTAGGTTGAACCATTAGTGTGCCCGTGATCTTAGTTTTTGTATCCCCTCAACAAATTATTTATACTAAGTTATACCGTGGGAACCATATTTAAACAAGAATCTTGAAAGTTTCGATTGATTTGTGAAAACTGTAGTGATAAAGTTATTAAATAAAAGAAGTATTGAGAAAAATAGAAATGAAGAAAACATATTCCACGTCAAGAATGAACGTGTATAAGAATAATTCTGTGGCACACACCTTCAAGTATCGATCTCCTTTGTGGTTTGAATCGGATTCTGATAGTAAGAGTGACAGCCAGGGAAGTGGAGACAGGGTACAAGGTGGTGGACTCGGCAGCGGAGACGAGAGTCTTGAATGTAGCTCAAATAGTTCAGACAGCGTCAACAACTTTCTAGATAAAAAGGTTGAAAATAACTCACTTATTTCTACACAAAAAGGTTGCAAACAGCACTTTAAATATAGCATAATATAATATTACAAGGAGTTCATACTAAAACCTACTTATTTATTTTGGTACAAAACATTATTATCACGTTTTTAATGAAGTCTCATTTGTTTAAGTATTTAAATGTTTGAACTTCACTATTCGTTGCAATGGTAATAATTTGTGTTGAAGGAACTTTCTGATATAATACAAATCAAATTCACGAAATACGTTACTATTTAATAGCGCCGTTTGTTGTCATTGAATATATATCTTGTACTATTTAGTGATGTCGACATACTGATGTCATTTCATGTAAAAAAATGAATACAATTAATTTTACGGCTTTTTGACTTTATATAATATTATAAGTTTAGAAAACAAATTAACGGTTTTGTACTAAGTTTTGTCAATATTTAGAATTATTCAGCGAGTAACAATAGCAGCATTAAATACTATAAATATGAGAACATGTAAATGTGTTAATAACAGCTGACTTATTATTGCTCTTTAGTAATAGCGCCATCTATCAACAACAGTCAAAATTACTTATTTTATGTCATTTTATAGTTGAATAGATGGCGTTAATGTAATAAATAGATTTATTGATACATAGTAATATTATTTTTATTCTTATCCATTTAGAGATAAATCAATAGATATACATATATTACAATAAATACTATTGGTAGAAACCAACTACATAGCATAGGAATTGGATTATATTATACAAAAAATAAATTCTTCTTACGAGCAGTGATAGCGTTTGACAAAATTTTTGTATCTTATTTTGTATTGGATTATATTACCATTAAAAAGTGCTTTCAATTAGAAGTTACATATCAATTTCACATATATATAACTTATATAATAGCCGTTATTAATATAAATATATATAGTGCTCGCTCAAAGCTAGTTCTCACATGAAAACTAATTACTTTTAATGCATACCATCCGGATTACCTGCTTTATCATTGTTTTTAAATCGCAATCCTGTGATTTACCTATTTCTTCACACAATTTTATAGTAAGTGTGTTCTGTAGAACATAATGACTTCATTTATAAATACGGTTACGACCCGGTGGTTAGTGCATAACATGAGATATTAAACACTAATTGGTACTTTAATTAAGTGTTATGAAGTTCAGAGTGCAGGATGTATCACGGGAGACGAGATTTAGACTGCATTCCTCTAACTCAGGTCAGGATTTTATGAGAAATTATATACATATATTAAGTGTGGCACATATTTTTAAATATGTAGGACATATGTATACATTTTAAAGTATCTCTATACTTATCCTAAGGCAATATTTGTTTGAATTTTTTAAAGTTATTTCTGTCAGCACTTACGAATAATATATATTTCGATGTCATTTACAATAACCCTATATAAACATAATTGTATGAATGTTAACCTATATTATGTTGATTAATCAACTTAATTTAATGATTTAAATCAAAAATCATTATGTTATTAGCTAAACGATTCCGAAATTCTTGCCCTCGTTAGTGGGGTATGAATATAGTACACAATAAATGTATTACTTGATAAGGTTCGAACATTTGTATAGTGATAATAATCGGTAAACAATTCCGAACGTCTGCGATGAAAACAAATATACTCAAAACTAGATCTTGCATGAAATGTGAAATTATAGACAAATATTTTCCCTAATTTATAGTCATTACTCAATTAATTTTTTGTTTTGTAACAATCTAGAAGAACTTAATATATTAAAGAATTTTAAAGTACTAGCTTTCCGCCCGCAGCTTCGCCCGCTTGTAGTTCGGTTATATCGCGTTTCCAAGAGAACCTTTCAAAAGTCTGGAACAAAAACTATCCTATGTTCTTTCTCAATGTCAACTCTATCTCTATAACAAATTTCATTAAAATCAGACAGAGTTACTTTCGCATTTAAAATATTAGTAGGGATGTTTATATGATATAAAAATATATTTAGTGTCAAATTTACTTAATCTTTAGATTGTGTTATGGAAGAGACGGATTTTAATGTAGGATACTTACAAATGAATCAGCCGAAGAACTAGTTAATTAAAATTATGTTTGATAATAATTCAAATATTTATATTTGTAGGTCGATAACGACTGCTAAATTATATTCATTATTCATAGTTTCTTTAGTTATGATTTAAACAGAGTTTAATTCACATTTCAATGGATTTTAAAATAAGTGTAATTTATGTGGTAAGTTTTAAAATATATTTTATTTATAACGATGTTAGATTGTGATTTAGACGCATTCGGCCAAGATTTATTTCCCAACACATAATATAAGACCTCATTGTTTGTTTTATATAATATTTAAAACGTATTTAATATTTTCATTCATAATAAATATTAAAATTATCATAACTATACATATGTCATATCATTTAATTACTTTTTTTACCGTGTAATATACAATAATTTAAATATTTTAATATCAATAAACGACTATTCATCAATCAGTCTTATTTTAAGTGAGACAGTTGTATGTTATTAAAATTAAATAATAGTATGTTTATAGAATAGTATAATATATACAATTGTCAAATGTTAAGAATTTTTTTTCATTAGTCAGAGGGTAGTTTTGATAAACATTTTTTAAACTACCCCTGGGTCGCAAGTCCCAGTCACTGTTGAAGCTCCTCTCTACAACGATGGACCCGACACACGCACCGTGAATACATTGAATGATGAGAGGTTTCGTCTCTTTATTTTATAAATCATATGTGATATAAATATTTTTGATACCATGCCTTTCGTGTCCAGTACTTGGTATCAGTGATCATATAGTTGGAAGACGAATTGAAAATGTCGTGATGTACAAGTGGAAAACGTAGTTTCATTGAAATGTGTATATACTAGGTGATAAATATAAATATAAATCTATATAGCTATGTTATATTAAATTACTTACTATATTTATTTACTTTAGTTTTAAATAAAAAACTGGGAAAGGTCTTTTAATTTAGATGCGTAGGTACATTGTACTTTAAAATTAACTACTCTCTCTCTAATTAGCAACACGTTTTTCTTATATATGTAAAGTTAATGCTGTATCATTAGCTATGAAACTTTTTATGTCACATAGTATTATTAATTCATATAACTAATACATATTATTATCCTGTTTCAGATTCCAGAACATCATCAGAGCTCAGTTTCGGCTTTCAGTGACGACAATAACGATGTACACGATGACCAGGCCAAGTGAGTATTGTTTATTGAAGTAATACTATAACTATAGTATAACTTGGCTGGACTTCTCCGTATTCCCTTCTTTTCCTGCCATTTCCTTAATCCCACTCCTCCCTTTTCCCCAATCAAGTGGCATACTACTGCCCATAAAGTAGGTCTTCTGTTCGTTTGCGACCTGTAATATAACAAAAAATCTATTACTAAAGGTCATTACGCTTACTACAAGTATGGACTATAGTTTCACTACATACAGGGCGTTGGAAGTTAATCATTTGTTTAATCTTCTTACATTATAGTATTAATAGTAACGTAGGTTATTAGATAAATAGATAATATTTGTTCGTAGTACTTAAATTAAACTCGTATTAAGAAAATTAAATGTTTTGTTAATAAAATATTTGTGAATTTCACTTCATTATATTAGGAGTTTTCATGAGATCTGAACCAAAGGGTATATGTATTAGAAGATTATTAAAAACATATTATTAGACAACCACATATCAAAATGATTACTCGTTATACATTTGAAATATATATTTATCATTTTTTTTACTTAAATTCGTACATTCTACAGAAAACTTTATATATAAAATCGTGTAAATTATAAGTTTTTCGGTAATAAATTGTTTTAATTATAACAATTGTCTAGTTCACGATTTCTTTGGTCAAAATTATACACTAAATGGTGTGTGGCCCACAATGAGTGTATTATACATTCAAGATGTATAACAGTAACCTCCTAACCCTCCGTATTGTAAGTCGGTGTAACTCGTCCGGATGTCGTAATGAGGAAGAACAGCCGACCATTGACCCTAACTCCCTGTACCTTAAAACGTTTTGTCTTACTTTTGCAATGCATTTGATGGAAGGGAATTGTATTACGGAATTATTTAATATACGGAATTTTGAAACTATATCTATGATTCAATATGGACTTTAACGACAAGCGTGTTATGTTAAATTTTCTTTCACTAAATGTATTCTTCACAATATATGTGTTTGCATTACAGATTTTGTACGGAATTATTTAATATACGGAATTTTAAAAAGGGATTTATTAAATAAATAGTTTTAAAAATAAACGTTTCATGTCCAATTTTTTTTCCTAAATGTAGTCTTTACAATATAGTTTACTTATTTTGTAAAGTAGATAAAGCTGGTAGAATTTTTACAGGCGTTTTATAATAAATACATATATTAGGTCGAAATAAGGTGAACTTATTAAGACTTAACTTTTGTTGTATATAAGCAATAAATGTATAAGTCATGTAGTGACCAGTTACTTCAAGTTTACAAAATTATCATATTGACAAATCTTTATAAAGCTAATAATGACGTCTAAAATTTTCGGGTGTACATATTTAAATGAAACTAAGGTTTTCGTATACTAAGTGTATATTATTATTTTAACTACATAATCTCAACGTTTCGGTTATTTTATAGCAACCGTGATCACGGACAGACGAGATGACAGTTTCACTAATAATTAAAATCAGAATATAAGTAATGACATAATTATATTTTTCTTTTGGTGATATACCAACAAAAGTTATACCTTCATGTAATGCTATAGAGTCGTTAAATAACTCACATTAATTTATTATACTTGCAAAAATATATTATACTTATAACCACAAGGATGTAAGGCTAAAAGTAAAATTATAATATACTAAAATGATAGGAGTTTAAATTATGAAATAAATTAAACGCTTTGTGATTTTGCTAATTTTAATTGAATGGCGTTATTTTATTCTTATTATCCATGTCTTAATATGAATACTTACTAATATATATTATACCTACTAATATTATAAATGCGAAAGTAACTCTGTTTGTCTGTCTGCCTGTCTTTTGATCTTTCACGCCTAAACCAATGAACTGATTTTAATGAAATTTGGTACAGAGATGTAGTTGACCTCGAGAAAGAACATAGGATAGTTTTTATCCCAGACTTTTGAACAATTCTCTTGGAAACGCGATATAACCGAACTCAACGCGGCCGGAAAGCTAGTTACAAATAATGCTAAATTTAATTGGATTAATTTTTTTATCTAAATTCCATATAAGAATAATGTAGAATGTTTTATATTCGACATTATTTCATTTTGACTTTTACAATGGTAACGTGATTCAAATTTGAATTTTAAAATAACTCTCAAATGTAGATAAAGCGAATTATTGTAATTTATTTACGAACGATTCTACACGCCAAATATTTTATTGTTTGACATCTATGTCTGTGTGTTTGTTTGTGCCATCGTAACTCGCAAACGGATCTCCCGATTTCGATCTGTTTTTTCTATTTTAAAGCCTTTTTCCTCAACGTGATTCTTAGCTATGTTTGGTTAATATCGGTCCAGCAGGAAAATTGACAGTTTCAATACTTTTCTATAATGATGTAAGACATTTCTGTCATATGGCTAGTTTATTAAAACCTTCGTTCAATGTTGGCTGTTTTAATTAAACAAAATTAGAAGTAATTGAATTTTATATATGTATATCAATGTCAAAGTTAGAAAATTTATAGATTTCGCAATAATTGTTAAATTGTAACTTAAAGATTAAAAAATATATATATTTCTGTTTTAAAACAAGAACATAATTGGTAATGTTACTTACATTTTACGAATTAATGTCTTAAAATTTATTATGTACTTTATACTAACAATGATTAAATATTATATTTGATAACTATTGCTGTAGTTACAATACAATGAAATATCCGTGACTTTTAACCAGTTAAATAAGTAATATTAAATTCTTTTTTCCCTATCTGAACTGTATTTGAACTCCACATTAAGTAAGTTTCTTTAGAATTTTAATGTGTACTGACTCACGGAATGTGATTCTCATTTATACATCCTTATACGTATTATGTTACTATATTGTTAGGTCACATTTTGTAATACGATAACTTAGACTTCGATAAACAATGATATTTTTATAATGATACAAATAATTTAATTCTTATACATATAAAATATTTCTATGTATAATATAGTGATACTGTTTTGTATGGAAACATCGTTTTCTATAACTTTCGCTAGTCTAAGTCGTGCAGAATAATCGAGAAGGAAGATTGAACACACTTCGACAGACAAGTGTGCGTTGAAAAGGTTATTATCATTCTAAATGAATTAATATTTTAGTATATTTCAATATTATTTTTCATATAAATGCTCTGTTTTATATAAATATTTATGAATTGTATTAAACAAATAGATTTTTACTGTGCAACATGTTATATAAGTGAGTGTATTGACCTCAACTAGTTTGATGGAATGGTAGCGGATACAAACATGTTTTTCTAGTGTATTGGAAATATTTTAAGAAAACTATATATCTTTTTCTATTTTGTGATCATCAATGAATTGTTTTATTTAATGTTGGACGCAATCAGTTATCTTGTTCGAACTTAAGCACCATTCGTTCTACTCGGGTCAGTACAACCGATTCATTCTCAGTGCGTACAACTTAGTGACTACACATCGTAAGTAGAAAACAAAACATATATTAGAAAATAGGTATTTTTATATAGTATCGTTATCAGAATAAATTTTTTTGCTAGATTTGTTTAATTGAAATATCGTTGTTGTGTTTGTAAAATTTAATCAATTTCGTAAAGATTTGTGGAATTTTTATTACGTTGATAAAATTATGGATTATTGCAGTTTTATTGAACTTTGTTTACTTTCATTGGTGAGTTTGATTCTTTTACTTAATACTATAATCTCGTTTTTTTGCCGTGGATTTCGTTTTTAAACAAATAATATGTGCTTTAATTTTATTAGGCTTATATATGTGTATTTATAAGGCTTAAAATCTTCATAATATATTCGGGAGTTCTTGATTTTGGTATCTTTTTTGCAATTTCTGTAACGTGCGTTGTAATAATGCAAATTGTGTTTAATAAGCAGTTCCCGGTCGCTGTGTCAGCGGCCACGGATCATTTTAATCAAGCAGTACTTTCAATTTAAATATATTAAGTTCTGCTTTAGTATGTAAACTGTGATATTATACAAAGAAAAACATCTTTTTTCATATAAAGTCCTTGTTAATTGGAATAAAGGTATCTGTATATATATATGGTTAATTTAAGATAAGTGTTAAGATATACTCTTACATGTTTGTCATATTTATCACTGAGATCGACATGTAAATAATAATAATGTTTCTAATATATATTCCAAGATCTTTATATGATTCTGTATATAAATGTGATATCTGTTAATTTCCAAACACTGAACAAAATTTTCAATAGAAAGGTTTTTCATTAAAAATACTTATGTGTGTTACATTCATATTTTATTATTCATAAACTATTCATCCGGAAACTTCATTAAAATTATTAAATTGATTCTTCTCCGGGCGGTACTGATTGCATGAAGCGAATTTAAAGAGCCACTGTCTATGGGTAGCGACTTTCCTTTTAGTGCATTTTAAATGTTTAATGTATTTTAAATCTATAACAAAAACAAACAAAGTTAATATTGGTTATTAATGGGTTATGGGTTATAAAGAACATTTATCTATCTTAACCTAAAGCCCCATTTATAGTCATTATTAACTTAATTAGATCTAGGTCATAAAGTACCGTGGGATGCGTTATCTCTACGTCCTTGTCATCAAAATGTAATCCGAGTTAATAAGGAAACCGTCAAGTGTAGCGATCACTGTGAATTAGGTAAACCAGTATACCTATTGACAGATTTTTGAGAGTATAACAAAGAAGTAACGAAAATATTATTCGATGTACATTGAAGCATTTGACCTTAGCATCTATGTGTAATTGGTAGTAAAAAGTCGATGTATTTGCAGAGTACCGCTTCGATCGCCTCGTCGTAAGTCCACAGCTCCACGAAGGTTCAGATCTGAGTTCAGTATGGATGAAGATGAGTACTCCCCGAGCAATTCAGTCACAAGTGTGAACTCACTCGCCAGTTTACTTAAGGAGAAATTACAGGTACGTTATCTTTATAATTATATGATATTGTTACGAGAAGTTAATATATGAAAGTCAAAAATATGCTCCAGATTTTTTTATTCAAAAAAAGTTACCATAAGTACGTCATGAGGAAAATTATATTATAAGTACATAAACTCAAACTCAAACTCAAACAACTTTATTCAATATAGAAGTATTACACTTTCTTATCGATGGTCATTTGAGACTACCACCGGTTCGGAAAAGAAAATACCCTGACCTGAGAAGAACCGGCGAAAGAAACTCAGCGGGTTTTTTTTTTTATATATATATATATATATATATATATTTCTCTCATATATTACAATATACACAATTTAATATGAGATGAAATAGCCAGGAGGCGAGCGTTTCATTCCCAAGGTGTGCTATCGTTCATAAACTCCTTAATTGTATAGTAACCTTTTGCACACAAGCGTTCCTTAATAATTTTTTTAAATTTAGCAATAGAGGCATTTTGAACGCTTTCTGGGATCCTGTTGTAAAACCGTATACATTGCCCCACAAAGGAGTTACTGACTCTATGTAGTCGAGTAACAGGAGTAACAAGTTTATGTTTGTTCCTTGTACCAATGCTATGAGTATCACATTTTCTCATGAAATCATTAATATTTTTTCGTACATACATAACATTGCAGAATATATATTGAGAAGCAACAGTCAATATCTTGATTTCTTTAAATTTATTCCTTAACGATTCTTTAGCTCCTAGGTTATAGATTGCGCGAATAGCCCTCTTCTGTAGCACAAATATAGTATGGATAGCGGCTGCGTTGCCCCACAGCATAATACCGTATGACATTATACTGTGAAAGTAACTGAAATATACTAAGCGAGCCGTATCAACATCGGTACATAATCTAATTTTTTTGACCGCGAATGCCGCAGAACTCAGTCTACTCGCCAATCCGCTAATATGGGGGCCCCATTGCAACTTAGCATCAACAGTAAGGCCAAGAAACTCAGCAGAATCAATTGGATCCATCGATTCCCCGTTAATGAGTACATCGGCTTTTACATTATGTACATTAGGTGTACTAAATTTTACAATTTTTGTTTTATTATTATTTAGCCTAAGATTGTTTACACTAAACCAATGTACTATATCAGCTATAGCATTGTTTACGTCGTCGTACTGTACCTGTTTTCTATTAATTTTAAAAACTAATGAGGTATCATCAGCAAACAATACTATATCATGTTTGTTCCCAACAAGAAAGGGCAAGTCATTTATATATGTGAGAAACAGAAAAGGTCCAAGAATTGATCCCTGAGGGACCCCCATACCAACTGAGACCCCAGGAGACCTTTTTCCTTTAACGTCAACCCTCTGAATTCTATTGTTGAGATAAGAAGTCAGAAGGTCGAGCGCACATTCTCTAATTCCATAGTGATATAGTTTCCTGACCAGAGTCTCATGTTGAACACAATCAAAGGCTTTGGATAAGTCACAGAAAACCCCTAAGGCATCCCGTGACTCCTCCCAAGCATCATAGATATTCTTAATAAGCTCGATACCAGCGTCTGTTGTCGAGCGACCCCTCGTGAATCCAAATTGTTTACTATGAAGCAGATTATGTTTGTTAAAATGTTCTAATAATTGATTTAGAATTATTTTCTCAAATATTTTGCTCAGGGTAGGTAGAATTGAAATTGGCCTATAGTTATTGGGGTCTGAGGAACTACCCGATTTAAATATTGGAATAACTTTACTATGTTTCATCAGGTCAGGAAATATACCACGTTGGACACAACTATTAAATATTACAGCAAGAAAAGGTGCAATCACATCAATAATCGAACTTATAACCTTTAGAGAAATACCCCATAAATCAGCTGTTTTCTTGATGTCTAGTGACTTGAAGGCTCGTATTATGTCATTGGGGTTTACAAGGGTAAAATTAAAGTTAGATTTACAAGCTCTTACATTTTCTTTCATCAGTGACTCGGCAACATCTGGAGAAGAAATAAGTAACTTAGTTGTCAAAACTGGTACATCAGCAAAGAATTTATTAAAAACTGTAGCAACTTCCTTTTGACTATTTACTACTTTACCATTATAATTCAGGCTCAAATCGGAGTTGCAACTGCCAACTCTACCAGTTTCACAACCAATAATTTTCCAAGTCATTTTTATCTTGTTTTGTGCATTCTTAATTTTATTTTTTATGGTTAGAGATTTTTAAGACATATAAGTAATAATAGAAAAGAATCGAATATGAGAATTCACTTACTTTGAGAACTTAAAAAATAGTCTATTTAAAAATGAAACTAATTAAAAATGAGAACTCACTTACTTTGTCATATATTTTCAGAGTATTCCTCAGAAAATAAGAAAAAAGCCTACAGACTACAAGCTGCGCGCGTTCGTCGGACTCATGTTTCTAGCCGTGGTGTTCTTTGTAGGGTTCGCCTATGTCTTGTATCACAGACAGGCCCTCACGACAGCCTACTTCGAAAGAGTACAATTCAATGAACCCAAAAGACTTATTAGAGTCTACAATCAGGATGATGTGGAAATATTGAAAGCCAGATTGGGTAAACGGATACTTTATTAGTTTATTATCTAAGTTACTAGCAATAAACATACAAAAGGATATTGTTGGTAGATAATTATCGTCCTAATTGGCCTAAAAGTCATTTTATCGTGTCTAAAATACTACCAATTTTATACCATGAAATCTTTGTTTAAATACATTCTGTTTGTTGTATATAAACCGTCTAATAATAAAGTAAAGAACTATAACCATTAAGCAACAAGTTCATGATGTTTTTGTTGTCAGGTGTGGATCTTCACGGGCAGCACAAATCATTCCCGTGTCTGCCGCAGCATCGCCGGCGAGGGTCTGAATGTCGGGAGTGGCTTCACGCACTTAGACTGTACCTCACGAGCCTACCTCCAGAACATGACAATACTACGTGCTACTCTGTCGTCTGGCAAGCACTGTCCAATGGTGAGTGGTACATAAATATATCTTTAGATGAAAGTGATTATGTTAATCAATAGAGTTAGAAAATACGAGAAAACGAAATAGAAAGGGGATAATTCTTTTCACTTCATCGTCATCATCATCATCAGTCTATAAGAGCTCATTGCTTAGCGTAGCCTCTACTCACATGGAGAAGGTTAGAGCATTGAACACCATGATTTCTTAAGAGGGGTTGGTGATTTCAAACTTATAATATAAAATAACACCAGTTTTTCTCACGATGTTTTTCTTTACCGTCTGTCAGTGGTGTTTAAATATTCTTAGAAAGGACATATGACTCTGAAAAATCATATTGAAACTTGGCAGGTTTCGAACCCACCCCCACATGTATGCGAGGCGGTCCTTTAATCAATATGCCACCACGACTTAAATAATATTAATATTGAAGTTTATTGTTTTTCTTAAATTACTGGTTATATTTTCCAGATGTTACACCAAACGATTGTTTCGACTGGGGCGACACGAAGGTTAACTGGTTTGGTGCTGGGCAGAGTCTTAATTTAACCTGGCCACTCAACAGCGGTGCTATAGATTACACGCCTTTCATCACTGGTGACATGCAAAAGTCTCAGTTCGGGAACGTTGTTACTAGATACTTGATTAACTCGAAAGGAGGAGCGATTACTGTAGATGAAGACACTCCGTTGCATATTTCTGTTAACAGAGGAAGAAAAGAAATATGCTTGAAAGCAAAGTACGATGACTTCGCATTTGCTAATAAGATTACAGAGTTCCCTGAACTGAAATACAATATATGCACTGCGAGGGATATAAAGTCCTTACATTCATCTATTCATAACCACAGAAGAGCTCCTCTGTGGGACGGTCTGAAGCCAGATGACATTAAAACATTAGACTCTCTTATTTCTGAACCAGTTTGGCAAATTGCTCCTCGATTCAAACACGAATTACAAGACGAAACCATAGCCAAATATACCGAAGACGTTATAAGCTTAGGATTTTTGAAACAAGGGCACGTGTTGATTAACGAGTTTTGGCAAAATGAAATTGGTGACTTGACAGTTGATACGAGTCGGTTTGCAACATTAAATGTAACCGTAAATAAACTACACAGACGAGGATTTAAGGTCGCTTTTACAATACAACCGTTTATAAGTACTGAAAGTAAAAACTTCGCTGAGACGGTACAGAAAAGATTGTTGATTAGCGAAAGAAACAGCGACAGAAGAATCCCAGCGTTGACCAGGTTTAAATCTTTAGCGAGTGCGGGCGTGTTGGATATAACTAACAATAGATCTGTGCCTTGGATTATGGATAAACTACAGACTGTGATATCCGAATACCATATAGACTCTTTTTATTTTGATCTCGGCACCGCTTACGATATGCCGCATTATTATCGATGCGAACAAAAGTTGATAAATCCCGATCAATACAAGACAATATTCACCAAAACATTTGAGAAGGCTTTAAACATTATTGGAGTATCTTCTGCCATTCATCTCCCTCGTCCACCGATTTTCGTATCATTGCCGCCGTTTGAATCTACTTGGGAAGCATTAAGACTGGTGATACCAACGATGTTGACGTATGGCATAAATGGTTTCCCATTTACGATGCCGGGCGCAGTGGGAGGAGATATATATTGGCCTGGAAGCGAACAGTTCTTACCATCAGCTAAAGGAGCCGTAGAATCAAACTTGAACAGTACAACCCAGGAGAATGGTATCGAGTTACCAGAAAGAGAATTGTACATGAGGTGGCTGCAACTAGCAACCTTCTTACCTGTCATGAAGTTCACTCACCTGCCAAGCAAGTACAACGATGTCACTGTCCTGGAAATGGCTAAAAATCTAACTCTGCTGCGACAAATGTATGTAAGTACTAAATGTTAAACATCTCTTATAATCTAAAATAATAACGGTATTTAGGTAATAATTCAGGAAAGTTAGTCTAATCCCTTTAATGGATTATAATATTAAAATTATGTTGAGCTTATACTTCATTTGGAATTAAAGTACAAAATTTACAATCATTGATACGATACATTGATCCTTACGTCCGAAATGTAATTTTCTAGCCGCATTACTTTTTAGTAATATATTTGAAAGGTGAAAAAAAATTTTGTGATTGTAAATATCGTTACATTTCCTATCTAAATTTTAACTATAAGGGTGAATCGGAGTTAATAGATTATGTTATCCCATTCCAGGTGACGCCTTTGCTATTAAAATACAAGCGTGAGGCTCTAGAGGAAGGTCTGCCGTTGGTGCGTCCGCTGTGGCTGGTGGCAGATGCTGACGTCACGCCCGCCCTCGACGAATTCGTTATTGGAGATGAGATCGTGGTCGCGCCGGTTGTTCATCAAGGACATACCACGAGAGAAGGTAACTATTAACACAAATTATTATAATATTGGTAATACAATAAAGGTGTTTAGGATATTTATATTATTCAATACTTAAAGATAAGGATAGTTCTTGAGTGGTGGAGCTTAGCTGTGGTCAATAACTACAGCTCGCACATGGGCTGGCTCGAATAGGGAAATCCCATCCTTTCACAGAAGATGTCTTTAATGACTGCGTTCCCTTTTCCCATCCTTTCCTCTCCCTCTTCCCCAATCAAGGGTAAGGCAACGTAATCGAAAATACTTTTGCATATGTTCATGGGTGACGGTACTATCTTCATCAGGTATGCCGTCTGCTCGTTTGTCCCCTTTATCATAATAAAAAGTAAAAGGCTATTAACTGGGATATAATTTTTATTTATCTCTGTTTCTTTCCAGTGTATCTACCAGCTGGTCTCTGGCAGGACGGTATAGATGGTTCATTGAGGAAAGGAAATCGTTGGATGCACGACTACCGCGTGCCAGCTACCAAGGTCGCGTACTTCCTTAGGAAACCTGACGACTTAAGGTTTTAAAGGAACCAAATAATAACTCTCAAAATCCACATTAATTTGTAACGAAATGCGGATTTTAATGCCATTTTATTTATAGCGATGTTGTACGCCATAACATTTGTCTAGCTATATTAATACGTTCTATTTATATATTATTGATACGAGAAAATGTATTGGTAATGATTATTGTATTGTATATGAGATTAAAGATTCACCAATAAAGTGATACTAATTATAGTTTAGTGTTAAACAAAATGAGTCCAAAGTATGAAGAAAATGTCTGGTCTGTATTATAAACAGAGTGCTATAATTTTTTATAAGTAAAAATAAAATTAAGAATAATTTTGCATAGCAGTGGAAGTGTTTTTACTTCTTATTAATAATATTAGTTCTGTTGAACTTAAAGTACATAGTATTTTATTATCAAAGATGAAATCTTTATTCTTATATGTCATAATCTTTATATGTCATAATCTTTATATCTTTTGATCTCTAACTTTCATATATGTATATGTATGTCAAAAATTTATTTTCGCGTCATGCAGAACACGATACTACAATAATGTTTTGCATTTTTAGTTTTGTAATTAAATTTTTACATTTAATTAAAGCCAAATATAGTTTTATCAATTAAAAAGAAAAGTTCCGTTAGTTTTAATTATTATACTTATATTTCTACTGGAATTAGAAATTTCACACAATTTTTAATGATTTATTACTAGTATATCATTTTAACGCTTTTGTTCTGTAGATGTTTAAAAACTGATAATTTCAGTATTTTTATGGTTAATGAAAAATCGATTTATTGAAAGTCCAAAATATAGATGCCAAAAATTTATTTATATACTAAGATAGTCAGTTTTATGTTTCAATCAATAAGTTCTTGCTATTGCATCATAATGATTGTCATCTTGAATCTAGTCCTAGATTTTTCAATGTGTTATATATTGAATATATGTAATGTTTGTGAATAAAGAATGTTATAAAATGTATATTTTATTTCATTTTGCCTTAAAATTGTATTTATTTTGATATCTAAACAACTCATCTGATATTATGTGATCTAAACGAATTATAAGTTTGCTGAAAAGTAGCTGAAACGTTGGGACTATGTAGTTTTTTACAAAAATAAAGCACGCGGAGTATATCCGAAAAATATTAATTTAATTTAAACTCATCTGATTGTTTCGAGTTCAAGTTAAAGGTGAACAGGTTAGCTACACCAAGAATCAGTAAATAAAAGCCATAATATTTCGACATATGTTTATTTATTTTAATGATCCTTACTCCTCACCAAACACGCTCAATGACGAATAGCGAAATGACTGATACAATGAATGGTATTTATTAAATATGTTTATAATTAATTTAAGTTATATTAATCGTTACAAATACCTAATGACATACATCATTATTCAAATTATTAAATATCTCGAAAAACATAAACGAGTATAGAAAAGTAAGAAAAATCAAATGATCTGGCACAAAACGTTTCAAAACATACAATTTTAATATCATAACATTCATGTTGTTTCATACTTTAAGTGTCACACAAAACAGACCGGCACATGTCTAACTGTTTGTGCCAGATTTATAAAATCAAAACCACCCAATCATGAATCAGCCTTACAATCAAGCGTGTAATGGAATTTCGAATTTTCTATTACAGCAAACAATTAAAAAATATAAAAAACTCCTCATCCATCTTTAGCACCACAAGCATCTCAACTCAGTCTCCAAGAACTCGTCCACAACCAACACACTCGGGTCAGGTGAGTGGTTGCTAACGAGCGTATTAGACAACCCGCGTATACATCACATAGTTAAATTCTAATACACATTAAAAGAACACTAACTAGTTCATGTAATACGCTATATATATATTTAAACACAAGACGTCAACGTATCATAGAGAGGTTTCCTTAACGTATCCATATAAATAATATTACATTAATAGTACGAACAGCAGCGACAGTGTAGGAAGAGAGCGACATTTAATAATTTTAATAATGATTTATCCTCAGAGCTATTGATGTTCACTAAGCTGATACAATTCTTATTTAAACAACATTTTTTTTTTAATATTCCTAATATAATATGCATTATTTAGAGTTCTAGCTATAAAATACATTAGTAAACTTTCGGGTCAGGCTTTCGACCAGCTGACGGCTGGGCAAGGAGAAGCCAAGGAAATAACCCCTAACACTCAAAAAGCGTAAGAAACAACTCCGACGCATGTATTATAAGCATAGCTCGGAAACACAATAGCGATGAAATAAAAGGTACATTGAACAGAAAACTAAATAAGATTACATTGAAATTGTTGAATATAGAAAAATATTTTGATGATAATTCATGCGTCGGTGTTGTTTAGAGTAAACAATAACGATCTCCCTGTGTAGTCCTCACGATAGAAGCAAAACAGAAACATTGTGCACACACCGACACTCAGACATCTAAACATATATCTATAAATAGAAGATAGTTCTCACAATATAGATAAATACAAAAAATAATAATACAATATTTAAATACTTTTCTTTATAATGATTTATATTGTGCTGGTGCTATCAGTTACACAGAATCGATTTCACTATTTTAGCTATAGTTATAAAGTTTGGCAAAGAAAGCGATGACAGACGAATGGCTCAATACCTTAAAACTATGGATGACTTAAAATTAATTGACTCGAAAATTTCATTGCAATTGGCAATCAAATAAACTGAAAGAAACGTTTTCATTGAAGGTCTTATTCTAGAGTGGATGGTGAGGATAGAAGACAAAGTATTGGTGTCACATACTCGCAAGCTGTCTGAACCGAACTTTAAATGGTCAAAGAAAATATCTCACAAATATCCTTCATACACGTAGATAATATATATTGAAAACACCGAATAAAAATATTATAAATCAATTCATAGGAACATATACTACGTGTTGATAAGCATCTGGATTGGTTTCGACTAGAAATTTAAACTACTTCATATAATATCACCAAAAAAAATAATAATAACATAAACACCATACAATCTGAGATTCTGTCACTGTTCTGTACACGAAATGAGTTAAATTATTCAACACTCACTTAAACTATCATAGTCATCGACACAACAAGCAGGTTCAACTTAAAACAAAGGTAAATAGTTCAATTTGTTTTAATAATTCTAATAAAACATTTGTTTAAATGGAGTAAGCTCTCTATAGTCTTAGGCTGATCGGTTATGTAGAAAGACAATATAATATATATCTCTAACGAGGACCATATCATATTAAATGCTATCGTATATGTAAATATATAAAATCCAGGCACAATTTTATATGTTTCCATATACGGTAACATTAATTACATACTCGATCTTTGTACAATCATGGTCCTTTTTATTTTGACGAGTAGCCCGTACGAGTTGGGAACAGTGAGGAATCTGTTCTTACAAATGTTCGGGCTACAAGACAATCGTTCACATTTCAATACAAACAATAATATCTTTACCTTTTCTACATTATAAATGAAAAAAATGAAGACATATCTATCAATAACAATTTATATATATATGTATATATAGGTTTATAAGTGCAAGCCGCACTAGCTCGTCATGTGACGTAAAAGCGTCTTTTAAAGACATTACTTAAATATATTCTCGATCTGAATTACAAAACATTTTCAGTAATTTAGATGAAATCGAATGTTCGTCCTTGTTTCATTATCGACTACCGATCGTATTTGGACATCATTTTTTAAAATATCACGTCCTATGTAAAGCGGTCCGCTAAAATAATTTTATTTTTGTCTTGCATCATAATATTATATATTACCCACTATTTAGAAATGACAATGCTTTAGCAAATTAATTTTAAATAATTAATTTTGCACAAGCGGTGTTTTGGCTAAACAAAATGGACTGGTTTTGCTAAAAATCGTGTATAAAAGCTCTACTGATTGTATAAGACCAAATTTAAAAATATCGTCAGAAAAATACTTCAAATGGCATGTACTATTTTGACGCTACTAGAAAAGAGTTTTAGAAAAAAATGGACGTTTCCGTTATTAGGTCGAAAATTGGTTATTGACATTAGATCGGATTCTAAGGAGACAGTTCTTCACTTGTAACACTTTATACACTTTTATTACATGTCTACGTTAACCTTCACAGTCTGTTGATTTCATTTAAATATCACATAGTGTTAAACGCTATTTGATGACTGTCTCATACGGAGAAGCGGCCTCGTATATTCTTTTGAATGCTCTTTCTTTATCACAGCCATTATATCCTACAACAAAAACGTATCTTTGGTTCCCCATTCAAAAGTATATACTTAATAATTGAGAGGTTCACTTCTTCGATGAGAAAGAAACAAATAGGCCCGACACCTAGAACTCGAGCCTATAAGCCGCACACGAAGTTTCGTGATCCTGGAGATTGATGGTGCAGCGGGATGCGGACGGTGAAAGGTCAATTTTATATTTTTCCAGAGCTTCTTCGTTTTCGGTAACCCAATAGCCGAGCACATCCGTGTCGTAGGTGGGAATAATTGTAACTTCTGAAACAGATATGAGTATATTAAATAAAACAACACACATTTAAGATTAAAAAATATATCGATACACTATGTAATGATAAATCCATATATACTATTGTGTAATATTTTATTTACCTAAATCTTTATCTTCCCACGTCTTTTTGGCATCAAGAAGCGCGTTGTAAATCTCCTTAGAGGGTTCAGTTCCAGAAAATACATAATATCTAGCTCGAACTCGCTTGAAGAATTCTATCGCAGAATAATAGGAATTTCCATGATGAGGAACATATGTCAGATCCATATATATGGGTGTTGGACTCTTCTTCTTTGTAGGTGATTCAGACAGTCTTTTTGCTTCTCTACTTTTTTCTTGATTAATTTTATTTTTATTTGCAACTGTTGAGCTTGGTACTTGTTTTTTCGGTGTACTTTTACCATCTGTTTGACTGGGTGGAAGTATAGGGCTAGGTAATCCAAGTGGTTTGCCCCACGATTCAATGGGATCCCGGGAAGAAGCACCGCTCTCCTTTCTTTCAGATGTTTCCGATTTTGTTTCTGTACTCTTCGATGACGAGGTTGTTGTTGTCTTCTTAGCGTCAGTTTTTATTTCTTTGAGCATTAAAGAGCTGTCTTCTTTTTTGGTTTCTTTTTGGTCAAGTTTATATTTGCCAGTTACACTTGTCATAACTTCAGATCCACTAACTTTTTTATGTTCTTCAATAGCTTTTTCAAAGTGTTCGTCGGCTTCTTCTAAAAAGGAAGCGTCAGAGTATTTTGCTCTTTCAGAGTCCTTTAGTTCTTCAGTCAAAAATTCTTTCGTAGTTTTTATTATTGATTTTTCCATTACATGTAGTTCAGTCTTATCATCGGAATGTGCGGAATAAGTACAAGAGTCGTCGTCGGGCAGTTGCCCATAAATTGAAGTTGACATGGGATCAAACTGCATTCTATCTCCTGGCATATCAAAAGTGGATTCTTGTTGTTGATGCGATTTAGTATCCATTTCAAAGCTCAAATTTGATCTCGGAGACTGTGCCACCTGTGACTTGGTACTGCTTGGACTAACTTGACCATCTTCGTCACTGTAATACATTCCACTACTCTCAGTACCCCAAATGTGTGTAGCAGCTCGTGATTCCCTCGAACTTATATCTGATGGTGGAGATGATATTCCAGGATGGTCTAAATCGTCACTAGCAGCGGATGAACTTCTCATATCTCCTGTTTTCGAAGAATGTTTCGAAAACGATTTTTCACTTTCACCAGTGTCAATTATTTCTTCGAATTCTTCCTTAATCTCAGATATTGTTGTCTTGGTTGATTTTGTAGTTTTAGTAATACCATCACTACCTTTACTAACAGTTGTAGTTTCAACAGTTACCTTTATTTTTTCAGGGCTTATCACTTCTTTGGTTGTAACGACAGTAATTGTTTGTGTGATTTCATTATCGCCCTCATGTAGTACTTTTGTGAATGTGTCAGTTTCTGTAGTTATTTCTCCTACAGGAGACCGTTTTTTAAGTTTGGTATCCGATTGGAAATCTGTTTTCTTTTCTAAAGATAGGTCACTTACTATTGGCTTGTCTTCCTTGTCTACACTTATATTTTCACTATCGGGAGAATATGATTGTTTTTCAATTTTATCTAACTCTTCTGGCGACCAATCATCTAATCTAGTACCAAGGGGAAGATACGTTATCTGGGTACTTATATCATTTGTAACTTCTACGGTACCATCTTCCTTTTTATTTTCTGTTACAGTTTCCGTGATGGTTTTAACAGCAGTTTGATTTTGACCGCTGTTGATCATTTCCTCTTTAGTAATATAAGTTGTTATAGTTTGTATAACTTTTCTTCCGTGTTCGGTGAAAATTTCATTTACTTTTTTGTCAACTGAAGATTTCACTTTACCAGTTGGTATCAAATCACGCAGGGCAGCCTTTAAATCAGTGTCGTATGTCTTTTGAGACTCCGAAATTGTTATTTTAATGTCTTTAGTAGTCTCAACAACACCATTCGGGTATTCATCATCAGTAATAGTTTCGATTGTAGTTCTCACTCGTTCAATGTCTTTATCACCACTGGCTAAAACTTCGCGTCTAGTTTTAGTTGTGACAGTTCGTTTGATTTCCATACCATCTTTATTGATTATTTCATTATTAACAAAAGAATCTTCTGTACAATCTTCAACAGTATCACCTTCTTCATCATATGTCTCAGAAGACTTTGTTTCGTCTTCAAGAGTCTTCTCTTTCATAAGAAAATCAGCTACTGACACTTTAACACTCTTTTTTATAATAACTGTGCCATCGGGATGCTCATCTTCTGTTGTGGTAGTTATGGTGGTCTTTACCTTTTTAGATCTCTTTTCATTATTTATATACTCTTGACGACTTGTTACTATAGTTCTTTTCCTTCTTATCTTGATGCCGCCCTCGAAGACTTCCTCAACATCAGTTGTTGTATTTTCGTCGGGTTCTCCTTGTTCTGTATAACCAGCCAAATCTGTGTCAAATGAATCTTCTTCATTTTGAGAAACGGAAACTTGCACATCTTTAGTAACTTCAATGACTCCATTTGACAATTTGGTTTCTGTAATAGTTTCTATTGTTGTCTTCACTATAGAAAATTTACCATCTTCCGTAGATAAAATTTCTTTCGTTGTCGTTACAGTAATCTCTTGAGGAATATTTTTGCCATCTTTTACAATGATGTTCTGTTTAACATCTTTGTTAACTTTGCGATCAATCAATTTACTGTATTTTTGTAGCGCTTCAGGTTCTACCATGTCTACGCTTTCAATGTCGTTAATTGTTTGCCGTTTATCGACACTCACGCGAGTCGAACCATCTGGATATGTATCTGTTGTAGTAATTATTGTAATTATTTTGATTTTTTTTACAATTCCGTTGCTATCTGAATATTTAGTTTTTATTGTTCTCGTTAATACATGTCGTTTTATAAATATACCGTCATGTTCTACGATTGTCGATTCATGAGCTTCAGTCTCCTCTGGAGGTTCTGCTACTGATAAGGTTTTCAAATTTGTATCATCAATCAGACATTCACTAGCGCTTTCATCTGTAGTTGAAAGAGATTCAAGAGATTTTACGTCCTTTATGTCAAGTTCAGAAGTTTTGAGAGCTTCATCCGATATAGATATTTTTTCACTTGTTTTTGTAATAATGGATCCATCAGGGTATTCATCTTCTACGACAGTCTTGGTTGTAGTTTGTATTCGTTTAATATTGCGAGAAATATTAATAAATTCCTGTCTTAGTACGGTGATAACAGTTTTCCTGGTAATGTTTAAGCCATTTTCATTAACAATTTCAGTTTCTTCCGTAACTTGTTCTTTAGGTTCTCCAGCAATCTCGAAACCTTCGGGTACACTATCTTCTGGTTCGGGTTCACAATCGGAAATTAAAACTTGTGTTTGCCTGGTTACTTCAATAGTTCCATTAGGGTAGGTTGATTCGGTAACCGTTTCAATCGTAGTTTTAAGTTTTTTCTTTGATCCATCTTTTGTTGTGAGTAGCTGTTTGGTGGTTGTTGTTGTAATTTTTTGATTTACATTTTGGCCTTCAATTAGTACAGATTTTTGCATGGTATCAATATTTGTGGTTTTATTCTCTTCAATAGTGTAATCAATGAGTTCTGTAGATTCGATAACATTATCCTCTTCAACATCTGTTAAAGTTGTACTGGTATCAACTTTAGTTTCTGATGAATTATCTGGATAACGATCGGTTGTGGTCACAATAGTCACAGTCTTAATTTTTTTGATGTTTCCATGACAATCTGCGTACTTTGTTTTTATAACTTTAGTTATAATTGTCCGCTGAATGATGATGTTATTAGTAACGATTTCTTCATTTTTGGTAAAAACACTTTCTTCAGGCTCCCCATGCACAATAAACGCATTGAGTATTTTTTCTAGACTGGTACTCACATCAGAACCTATTTCCTCTGATTGGACTTCAACATTCTTTTGAACTTTTTTAGTTCCATCAGGATATTCTTTGGTAACATTGGTTTCAGTAGTTGTTTTTAATATTTTTTTCGTATCGTCTACACCAATGGTATCTTTTTTTGTTATTGTTGTAACTGTTTCAACTATGTCTACATTGTCTTCTTTTATAATTCTTTTACTGACATCGGTGTCTATAACTGTATCCTCAATATTGTCTTCGAAATCTTCAGAATCCATGAATGAAGCAAAATCTTTATCACTTACCACTTTAGTTAGTTCTCTTGTTTCACTGGAAGACTTTTGGGTATCGTAACTAATAGTTTCCATTTTATGATCACTCAAGAGTGATTCAGTCTTTTCATGTTCTGAATCAATTAGGAATTTGTCTACTTTGCTATCCTTTGAATACAAATCCATTAATGAGGTAGATTTTAGGCTGGAGGAGCATTCTGAAAGAAGTGTTTGTGTATCTTTTGTAGTAGTAATAGAACCATCGGAACTCTTACTCAAAGTTGTAGTTTCTATAGTCGTTTTAATGTTCTGTGGAGTACCGTCTTCCCTTGAAATAATTTCCTTAGTCGTAACTGTAGTCACTGTTTGGGTAACTACATTTTCACCTTCTTTAATAATTTTCGTAACTGTATCAGTCTCGGTTTTTATTTTACCGACAGTTTGCATCAAGTTAGCTAAATCTAATTCACACTCGTCTTCACTGCTTGCTTTAATTTGTTTGGGAACTTTCTCAGTCGAAGTAGATATCCTTTGAGTGACAATATCATCCCCTATGTGTACCACTTTTGTAATTGTTTCTTCCGTACTATCTGACTTATCATACGTAACTTCACTCTGAACTCCATCACTGATTTTAATATCTTGGAAACTACTAGGAGTTTTCGGTAAAGGACTTACAGGCACAGTAGGCGGTGTTGATACACGCTCTAACTTTGTCGAACTAATTTCTACAGGTTCTGTTTTGATGCCTTGTTGGATGTCGGTGACCCGAAATGCTTCATGGATAGAATCAACTAAATCTGGACTTTTTTTTCTAATATTAGAATCGACATCGGATTCAAGTTTTTTGGGTTCAGTTACAGAATCATCAGATTGAGAAGATTCCGTTCCGAGAAATTCTTGTTTAATTGATTTTTGATCATCGAGTAATTTAGTTGACGGTGTTAAAAATTGATCTTCTGTATGCTTTGAGCTTTGTTCCCGTTTGCTTGGTTTTTGTAGAGTTTTATGATCTTCTCTCTCTTTTCGGCCTTTTTCAGATTTTTCAGTGCTTTCATATGAATACTTTTCCTCCAAACTTAATTCTTTTGATATATCTTCTGAGCTACTATATCCTAAAATATCTGACGTGGAATCTCGGTCAGTACCGGTGATTGTTACAACTGAGTCAGTTATTTTTTTCATACTAATATCATGGGTTAACCTTTCTTCATGTAACATCTTCTCACTGTCTGTAGCTAAATTTAAATAAGATTTTGTTTTAAGGTTTTCATTTATATTATCGTGACCTTCTTTGTGAGGATGAAGTTTTGGAGGATCTTCAGGTTTTCCATTTATTTGTGGTTCAACTACAAGAATGTCTTCATTTGTTTGATCTTTTTCGCCTGAATATTTTTTATTAGTTTCTTGATTAGGTACTTTTCGAAGGATTCCTTGTGTCAGGGGAATATTTTTCATCAATTCCGCAAGTTTTTCATTCAAATTTGTGAAATCAATTAATTCCTCAGTAGAAGTTATTTCCTCATTTGTCTTCCTGATAACATTACCATCTGGATATTCATCTTCAACATTAGTAACAATAGTAACTTTGGTGTGTTTTGTGTAGTTAGAGACCATATAGGCTATTTGAGTTATTTTTGTGACAACCGTTTTACGTTTAATTGATATACCATTTTCAATAACAGTCTCAACATGGGTAGTTGATTCTTCAGTTGGTTCCTCGGTAAAGTCAAACCTATCAGTTTGTAATTGGGGTTTGCGAGTTTCCCCAAATAATTTGTCGTAGATTAATATTTCTTCATTTGTTTTAGTGCTAATGCTTCCATCTGGGTATTTATCTCGGATAACTGTCCTAATAATTTCCTTAGTTCTTTTAGCATTGTTCTTAATGTTTCGTAACTCTTGTTTCGTAATAGTTTTAGTGATAGTTTGCTCTATTTTAACACCCTGTACAATTTTGGTTTCTGTAGTAGTAGTTACAAGTTCGCTAGGTTGACCGACTTCCTCAAAATTTGCTTCAGAATCGTCGGTTTCTCCATAATCGGAAACAATTACTTTAACATCCGTAGTTTTTTCTGTAATACCGTCAGGTAAAATAGATTCCGTAACTGTTGTAATAGTTGTCCTCAATTTTTTTAAAGAATTTTTTTTATTACCTAAAATTTCCTTGGCGGTAGTTATATGTAAAATTTGAACAATATTTTTTCCGTCAACTGTAAGAGTCTTCTCTTCTTTTTCTTCAGTAACCGAAGTATCTTCTATAATAGTAAAGTCTTGAATGTTAAATTCAACCCCTTCAGACTTCAGTTTAAAGAATGAAACCATATCCTTATCATCAGATAATGTTTTTTCTTCTTCATCATCGGGTTTTAAGAATTTTTTCTCGTATTCATCCATTTGAGTAGAAGTTGAGGATAAAACTGCTTTGACCAAAGGTTTCACTGGTTCTACAGTTTCCTTTTCAGTTGGTGTTTTAACTTTCTCCTCAGGAGTGAACTCTTCTACCTTATCCTTAAGATCCTCTGTGGGAGAGGGCTCTTTGTCTGTTACTGGTTTCTTTTCTGAAACTTCCTTTTCCTCCTTGGGGCTTAGAGGTTTTAATGCATCGGGTTCAAGTTTCTCGATTGGAGATGGGGTCTTTTCGCTAACAAGCGTTTCCTTCTTGATTTCTTTGATTTCCGTGATAGGTGAGGGCTCCTTATCAGTGACAGTCTTTTCAGGTAAATCCTTTACTTTATCCTTAGGACTAGTAGGTTTCTCAGGCTCGGGCACAACTTTGTCAAAGGGTGTCGGCTCCGGCTGTGCAGGTTTTTCACCTTCCTTTTCTGGTGTAACAACATCTTTTGTGGGCGATGGTGCTTTGTCCAAAGCTGGTTTGACGGGAACCTCTTTTTGTTGATCTTTCGGGCTCGAAGGTTTCACTGGTTCTACAGTTTCCTTTTCAGTTGGTGTTTTAACTTTCTCCTCAGTAGTGACCTCTTCTACCTTGTCCTTAAGATCCTCTGTGGGAGAGGGCTCTTTGTCTGTAACTGGTTTCTTTTCTGAAACTTCCTTTTCCTCCTTGGGGCTTAGAGGTTTTAATGCATCGGGTTCAAGTTTCTCGATTGGAGATGGGGTCTTTTCGCTAACAAGCGTTTCCTTCTTGATTTCTTTGATTTCCGTGATAGGCGAGGGCTCCTTATCAGTGACAGTCTTTTCAGGTAAATCCTTTACTTTATCCTTAGGACTAGTAGGTTTCTCAGGCTCGGGCACAACTTTGTCAACGGGTGTCGGCTCCGGCTGTGCAGGTTTTTCACCTTCCTTTTCTGGTGTAACAACATCTTTTGTGGGCGATGGTGCTTTGTCCAAAGTTGGTTTGACGGGAACCTCTTTTTGTTGATCTTTCGGGCTCGAAGGTTTCACTGGTTCTACAGTTTCCTTTTCAGTTGGTGTTTTAACTTTCTCTTCAGGAGTGACTTCTTCTACCTTGTCCTTAAGATCCTCTGTGGGAGAGGGCTCTTTGTCTGTTACTGGTTTCTTTTCTGAAACTTCCTTTTCCTCCTTGGGGCTTAGAGGTTTTAATGCATCGGGTTCAAGTTTCTCGATTGGAGATGGGGTCTTTTCGCTAACAAGCGTTTCCTTCTTGATTTCTTCGATTTCCGTGATAGGCGAGGGCTCCTTATCAGTGACAGTCTTTTCAGGTAAATCCTTTACTTTATCCTTAGGACTAGTAGGTTTCTCAGGCTCGGGCACAACTTTGTCGACGGGTGTCGGCTCCGGCTGTGCAGGTTTTTCACCTTCCTTTTCTGGTGTAACAACATCTTTTGTGGGCGATGGTGCTTTGTCCAAAGCTGGTTTGACGGGAACCTCTTTTTGTTGATCTTTCGGGCTCGAAGGTTGCACTGGTTCTACAGTTTCCTTTTCAGTTGGTGTTTTAACTTTCTCCTCAGGAGTGACCTCTTCTACCTTGTCCTTAATATCCTCTGTGGGAGAGGGCTCTTTGTCTGTAACTGGTTTCTTTTCTGAAACTTCCTTTTCCTCCTTGGGGCTTAGAGGTTTTAATGCATCGGGTTCAAGTTTCTCGATTGGAGATGGGGCCTTTTCGCTAACAAGCGTTTCCTTCTTTATTTCTTTGATTTCCGTGATAGGCGAGGGCTCCTTATCAGTGACAGTCTTTTCAGGTAAATCCTTTACTTTATCCTTAGGACTAGTAGGTTTCTCAGGCTCGGGCACAACTTTGTCAAAGGGTGTCGGCTCCGGCTGTGCAGGTTTTTCACCTTCCTTTTCTAGTGTAACAACATCTTTTGTGGGCGATGGTGCTTTGTCCAAAGCGGGTTTGACGGGAACCTCTTTTTGTTGATCTTTCGGGCTCGAAGGTTTCACTGGTTCTACAGTTTCCTTTTCAGTTGGTGTTTTAACTTTCTCCTCAGGAGTGACCTCTTCTAACTTGTCCTTAAGATCCTCTGTGGGAGAGGGCTCTTTGTCTGTTACTGGTTTCTTTTCTGAAACTTCCTTTTCCTCCTTGGGGCTTAGAGGTTTTAATGCATCGGGTTCAAAATTCTCGATTGGAGATGGGGTCTTTTCGCTAACAAGAGTTTCCTTCTTGATTTCTTTGATTTCCGTGATAGGCGAGGGCTCCATTTCAGTGACAGTCTTTTCAGGTAAATCCTTTACTTTATCCTTAGGACTAGTAGGTTTCTCAGGCTCGGGCACAAGTTTGTCAACGGGTGTCGGCTCCGGCTGTGCAGGTTTTTCACCTTCCTTTTCTGGTGTAACAACATCTTTTGTGGGCGATGGTGCTTTGTCCAAAGCTGGTTTGACGGGAACCTCTTTTTGTTGATCTTTCGGGCTCGAAGGTTTCACTGGTTCTACAGTTTCCTTTTCAGTTGGTGTTTTAACTTTCTCCTCAGTAGTGACCTCTTCTACCTTGTCCTTAAGATCCTCTGTGGGAGAGGGCTCTTTGTCTGTAACTGGTTTCTTTTCTGAAACTTCCTTTTTCTCCTTGGGGCTAAGAGGTTTTAATGCATCGGGTTCAAGTTTCTCGATTGGAGATGGGGTCTTTTCGCTAACAAGCGTTTCCTTCTTGATTTCTTCGATTTCCGTGATAGGCGAGGGCTCCTTATCAGTGACAGTCTTTTCAGGTAAATCCTTTACTTTATCCTTAGGACTAGTAGTTTTCTCAGGCTCGGGCACAACTTTTTCAACGGGTGTCGGTTCCGGCTGTGCAGGTTTTTCACCTTCCTTTTCTGGTGTAACAACATCTTTTGTGGGCGATGGTGCTTTGTCCAAAGCGGGTTTGACGGGAACCTCTTTTTGTTGATCTTTCGGGCTCGAAGGTTTCACTGGTTCTACAGTTTCCTTTTCAGTTGGTGTTTTAACTTTCTCCTCAGTAGTGACCTCTTCTACCTTGTCCTTAAGATCCTCTGTGGGAGAGGGCTCTTTGTCTGTTACTGGTTTCTTTTCTGAAACTTCCTTTTCCTCCTTGGGGCTTAGAGGTTTTAATGCATCGGGTTCAAGTTTCTCGATTGGAGATGGGGTCTTTTCGCTAACAAGCGTTTCCTTCTTGATTTCTTTGATTTCCGTGATAGGCGAGGGCTCCTTATCAGTGACAGTCTTTTCAGGTAAATCCTTTACTTTATCCGTAGGACTAGTAGGTTTCTCAGGCTCGGGCACAACTTTGTCGACGGATGTCGGCTCCGGCTGTGCAGGTTTTTCACCTTCCTTTTCTGGTGTAACAACATCTTTTGTGGGCGATGGTGCTTTGTCCAAAGCTGGTTTGACGGGAACCTCTTTTTGTTGATCTTTCGGGCTCGAAGGTTTCACTGATTCTACAGTTTCCTTTTCAGTTGGTGTTTTAACTTTCTTCTCACGAGTGACCTCTTCTACCTTGTCCTTAAGATCCTCTGTGGGAGAGGGCTCTTTGTCTGTTACTGGTTTCTTTTCTGAAACTTCCTTTTCCTCCTTGGGGCTTAGAGGTTTTAATGCATCGGGTTCAAGTTTCTCGATTGGAGATGGGGCCTTTTCGCTAACAAGCGTTTCCTTCTTTATTTCTTTGATTTCCGTGATAGGCGAGGGCTCCTTATCAGTGACAGTCTTTTCAGGTAAATCCTTTACTTTATCCTTAGGACTAGTAGGTTTCTCAGGCTCGGGCACAACTTTGTCAAAGGGTGTCGGCTCCGGCTGTGCAGGTTTTTCACCTTCCTTTTCTAGTGTAACAACATCTTTTGTGGGCGATGGTGCTTTGTCCAAAGCGGGTTTGACGGGAACCTCTTTTTGTTGATCTTTCGGGCTCGAAGGTTTCACTGGTTCTACAGTTTCCTTTTCAGTTGGTGTTTTAACTTTCTCCTCAGGAGTGACCTCTTCTAACTTGTCCTTAAGATCCTCTGTGGGAGAGGGCTCTTTGTCTGTTACTGGTTTCTTTTCTGAAACTTCCTTTTCCTCCTTGGGGCTTAGAGGTTTTAATGCATCGGGTTCAAAATTCTCGATTGGAGATGGGGTCTTTTCGCTAACAAGAGTTTCCTTCTTGATTTCTTTGATTTCCGTGATAGGCGAGGGCTCCATTTCAGTGACAGTCTTTTCAGGTAAATCCTTTACTTTATCCTTAGGACTAGTAGGTTTCTCAGGCTCGGGCACAAGTTTGTCAACGGGTGTCGGCTCCGGCTGTGCAGGTTTTTCACCTTCCTTTTCTGGTGTAACAACATCTTTTGTGGGCGATGGTGCTTTGTCCAAAGCTGGTTTGACGGGAACCTCTTTTTGTTGATCTTTCGGGCTCGAAGGTTTCACTGGTTCTACAGTTTCCTTTTCAGTTGGTGTTTTAACTTTCTCCTCAGTAGTGACCTCTTCTACCTTGTCCTTAAGATCCTCTGTGGGAGAGGGCTCTTTGTCTGTAACTGGTTTCTTTTCTGAAACTTCCTTTTTCTCCTTGGGGCTAAGAGGTTTTAATGCATCGGGTTCAAGTTTCTCGATTGGAGATGGGGTCTTTTCGCTAACAAGCGTTTCCTTCTTGATTTCTTCGATTTCCGTGATAGGCGAGGGCTCCTTATCAGTGACAGTCTTTTCAGGTAAATCCTTTACTTTATCCTTAGGACTAGTAGTTTTCTCAGGCTCGGGCACAACTTTTTCAACGGGTGTCGGCTCCGGCTGTGCAGGTTTTTCACCTTCCTTTTCTGGTGTAACAACATCTTTTGTGGGCGATGGTGCTTTGTCCAAAGCGGGTTTGACGGGAACCTCTTTTTGTTGATCTTTCGGGCTCGAAGGTTTCACTGGTTCTACAGTTTCCTTTTCAGTTGGTGTTTTAACTTTCTCCTCAGTAGTGACCTCTTCTACCTTGTCCTTAAGATCCTCTGTGGGAGAGGGCTCTTTGTCTGTTACTGGTTTCTTTTCTGAAACTTCCTTTTCCTCCTTGGGGCTTAGAGGTTTTAATGCATCGGGTTCAAGTTTCTCGATTGGAGATGGGGTCTTTTCGCTAACAAGCGTTTCCTTCTTGATTTCTTTGATTTCCGTGATAGGCGAGGGCTCCTTATCAGTGACAGTCTTTTCAGGTAAATCCTTTACTTTATCCGTAGGACTAGTAGGTTTCTCAGGCTCGGGCACAACTTTGTCGACGGATGTCGGCTCCGGCTGTGCAGGTTTTTCACCTTCCTTTTCTGGTGTAACAACATCTTTTGTGGGCGATGGTGCTTTGTCCAAAGCTGGTTTGACGGGAACCTCTTTTTGTTGATCTTTCGGGCTCGAAGGTTTCACTGATTCTACAGTTTCCTTTTCAGTTGGTGTTTTAACTTTCTTCTCACGAGTGACCTCTTCTACCTTGTCCTTAAGATCCTCTGTAGGAGAGGGCTCTTTGTCTGTAACTGGTTTCTTTTCTGAAACTTCCTTTTCCTCCTTGGGGCTTAGAGGTTTTAATGCATCGGGTTCAAGTTTCTGGATTGGAGATGGGGTCTTTTCGCTAACAAGCGTTTCCTTCTTGATTTCTTTGATTTCCGTGATAGGCGAGGGCTCCTTATCACTGACAGTCTTTTCAGGTAAATCCTTTACTTTATCCTTAGGACTAGTAGGTTTTTGAGGCTCGGGCACAACTTTGTCGACGGGTGTCGGCTCCGGCTGTGCAGGTTTTTCACCTTCCTTTTCTGGTGTAACAACATCTTTTGTGGGCGATGGTGCTTTGTCCAAAGCTGGTTTGACGGGAACCTCTTTTTGTTGATCTTTCGGGCTCGAAGGTTTCACTGGTTCTACAGTTTCCTTTTCAGTTGGTGTTTTAACTTTCTCCTCAGGAGTGACCTCTTCTACCTTGTCCTTAAGATCCTCTGTGGGAGAGGGCTCTTTGTCTGTAACTGGTTTCTTTTCTGAAACTTCCTTTTCCTCCTTGGGGCTTAGAGGTTTTAATGCGTCGGGTTCAAGTTTCTCGATTGGAGATGGGGTCTTTTCGCTAACAAGCTTTTCCTTCTTGATTTCTTTGACTTCCGTGATAGGCGAGGGCTCCTTATCAGTGACAGTCTTTTCAGGTAAATCCTTTACTTTATCCTTAGGACTAGTAGGTTTCTCAGGCTCGGGCACAAGTTTGTCAACGGGTGTCGGCTCCGGCTGTGCAGGTTTTTCACCTTCCTTTTCTGGTGTAACAACATCTTTTGTGGGCGATGGTGCTTTGTCCAAAGCTGGTTTGACGGGAACCTCTTTTTGTTGATCTTTCGGGCTCGAAGGTTTCACTGGTTCTACAGTTTCCTTTTCAGTTGGTGTTTTAACTTTCTCCTCAGGAGTGACCTCTTCTACCTTGTCCTTAATATCCTCTGTTAGAGAGGGCTCTTTGTCTGTTACTGGTTTCTTTTGTGAAAATTCCTTTTCCTCCTTGGGGCTTAGAGGTTTTAATGCATCGGGTTCAAGTTTCTCGATTGGAGATGGGGCCTTTTCGCTAACAAGCGTTTCCTTCTTGATTTCTTTGATTTCCGTGATAGGCGAGGGCTCCTTATCAGTGACAGTCTTTTCAGGTAAATCCTTTACTTTATCCTTAGGACTAGTAGGTTTCTCAGGCTCGGGCACAACTTTGTCAACGGGTGTCGGCTCCGGCTGTGCAGGTGTTTCACCTTCCTTTTTTGGTGTAACAACATCTTTTGTGGGCGATGGTGCTTTGTCCAAAGCTGGTTTGACGGGAACCTCTTTTTGTTGATCTTTCGGGCTCGAAGGTTTCACTGATTCTACAGTTTCCTTTTCAGTTGGTGTTTTAACTTTCTCCTCAGGAGTGACCTCTTCTACCTTGTCCTTAAGATCCTCTGTGGGAGAGGGCTCTTTGTCTGTAACTGGTTTCTTTTCTGAAACTTCCTTTTCCTCCTTGGGGCTTAGAGGTTTTAATGCATCGGGTTCAAGTTTCTCGATTGGAGATGGGGTCTTTTCGCTAACAAGCGTTTCCTTCTTGATTTCTTTGATTTCCGTGATAGGCGAGGGCTCCTTATCAGTGACAGTCTTTTCAGGTAAATCCTTTACTTTATCCTTAGGACTAGTAGGTTTCTCAGGCTCGGGCACAACTTTGTCGACGGGTGTCGGCTCCGGCTGTGCAGGTTTTTCACCTTCCTTTTCTGGTGTAACAACATCTTTTGTGGGCGATGGTGCTTTGTCCAAAGCTGGTTTGACGGGAACCTCTTTTTGTTGGTCTTTCGGGCTCGAAGGTTTCACTGATTCTACAGTTTCCTTTTCAGTTGGTGTTTTAACTTTCTCCTCAGGAGTGACCTCTTCTACCTTGTCCTTAAGATCCTCTGTGGGAGAGGGCTCTTTGTCTGTAACTGGTTTCTTTTCCTCCTTGGGGCTTAGAGGTTTTAATGCATCGGGTTCAATTTTGTCGATTGGAGATGGGGTCTTTTCGCTAACAAGCGTTTCCTTCTTGATTTCTTTGATTTCCGTGATAGGCGAGGGCTCCTTATCAGTGACAGTCTTTTCAGGTAAATCCTTTACTTTATCCTTAGGACTAGTAGGTTTCTCAGGCTCGGGCACAAGTTTGTCAACGGGTGTCGGCTCCGGCTGTGCAGGTTTTTCACCTTCCTTTTCTGGTGTAACAACATCTTTTGTGGGCGATGGTGCTTTGTCCAAAGCTGGTTTGACGGGAACCTCTTTTTGTTGATCTTTCGGGCTCGAAGGTTTCACTGGTTCTACAGTTTCCTTTTCAGTTGGTGTTTTAACTTTCTCCTCAGGAGTGACCTCTTCTAACTTGTCCTTAAGATCCTCTGTGGGAGAGGGCTCTTTGTCTGTAACTGGTTTCTTTTCCTCCTTGGGGCTTAGAGGTTTTAATGCATCGGGTTCAAGTTTCTCGATTGGAGATGGGGTCTTTTCGCTAACAAGCGTTTCCTTCTTGATTTCTTTGATTTCCGTGATAGGCGAGGGCTCCTTATCAGTGACAGTCTTTTCAGGTAAATCCTTTACTTTATCCTTAGGACTGGTAGGTTTCTCAGGCTCGGGCACAACTTTGTCAACGGGTGTCGGCTCCGGCTGTGCAGGTTTTTCACCTTCCTTTTCTGGTGTAACAACATCTTTTGTGGGCGATGGTGCTTTGTCCAAAGCTGGTTTGACGGGAACCTCTTTTTGTTGGTCTTTCGGGCTCGAAGGTTTCACTGGTTCTACAGTTTCCTTTTCAGTTGGTGTTTTAACTTTCTCCTCAGTAGTGACCTCTTCTACCTTGTCCTTAAGATCCTCTGTGGGAGAGGGCTCTTTGTCTGTAACTGGTTTCTTTTCTGAAACTTCCTTTTCCTCCTTGGGGCTTAGAGGTTTTAATGCATCGGGTTCAAGTTTCTCGATTGGAGATGGGGTCTTTTCGCTAACAAGCGTTTCCTTCTTGATTTCTTTGATTTCCGTGATAGGCGAGGGCTCCTTATCAGTGACAGTCTTTTCAGGTAAATCCTTTACTTTATCCTTAGGACTAGTAGGTTTCTCAGGCTCGGGCACAAGTTTATCAACGGGTGTCGGCTCCGGCTGTGCAGGTTTTTCACCTTCCTTTTCTGGTGTAACAACATCTTTTGTGGGCGATGGTGCTTTGTCCAAAGCTGGTTTGACGGGAACCTCTTTTTGTTGATCTTTCGGGCTCGAAGGTTTCACTGGTTCTACAGTTTCCTTTTCAGTTGGTGTTTTAACTTTCTCCTCAGGAGTGACCTCTTCTAACTTGTCCTTAAGATCCTCTGTGGGAGAGGGCTCTTTGTCTGTAACTGGTTTCTTTTCCTCCTTGGGGCTTAGAGGTTTTAATGCATCGGGTTCAAGTTTCTCGATTGGAGATGGGGTCTTTTCGCTAACAAGCGTTTCCTTCTTGATTTCTTTGATTTCCGTGATAGGCGAGGGCTCCTTATCAGTGACAGTCTTTTCAGGTAAATCCTTTACTTTATCCTTAGGACTGGTAGGTTTCTCAGGCTCGGGCACAACTTTGTCAACGGGTGTCGGCTCCGGCTGTGCAGGTTTTTCACCTTCCTTTTCTGGTGTAACAACATCTTTTGTGGGCGATGGTGCTTTGTCCAAAGCTGGTTTGACGGGAACCTCTTTTTGTTGGTCTTTCGGGCTCGAAGGTTTCACTGGTTCTACAGTTTCCTTTTCAGTTGGTGTTTTAACTTTCTCCTCTGTAGTGACCTCTTCTACCTTGTCCTTAAGATCCTCTGTGGGAGAGGGCTCTTTGTCTGTTACTGGTTTCTTTTGTGAAACTTCCTTTTCCTCCTTGGGGCTTAGAGGTTTTAATGCATCGGGTTCAAGTTTCTCGATTGGAGATGGGGTCTTTTCGCTAACAAGCGTTTCCTTCTTGATTTCTTTGATTTCCGTGATAGGCGAGGGCTCCTTATCAGTGACAGTCTTTTCAGGTAAATCCTTTACTTTATCCTTAGGACTAGTAGGTTTCTCAGGCTCGGGCACAACTTTGTCGACGGGTGTCGGCTCCGGCTGTGCAGGTTTTTCACCTTCCTTTTCTGGTGTAACAACATCTTTTGTGGGCGATGGTGCTTTGTCCAAAGCTGGTTTGACGGGAACCTCTTTTTGTTGATCTTTCGGGCTCGAAGGTTTCACTGATTCCTCAGTTTCCTTTTCAGTTGGTGTTTTAACTTTCTCCTCAGGAGTGACCTCTTCTACCTTGTCCTTAAGATCCTCTGTGGGAGAGGACTCTTTGTCTGTAACTGGTTTCTTTTCTGAAACTTCCTTTTCCTCCTTGGGGCTTAGAGGTTTTAATGCATCGGGTTCAAGTTTCTCGATTGGAGATGGGGTCTTTTCGCTAACAAGCGTTTCCTTCTTGATTTCTTTGATTTCCGTGATAGGCGAGGGCTCCTTATCAGTGACAGTCTTTTCAGGTAAATCCTTTACTTTATCCTTAGGACTAGTAGGTTTCTCAGGCTCGGGCACAAGTTTGTCAACGGGTGTCGGCTCCGGCTGTGCAGGTTTTTCACCTTCCTTTTCTGGTGTAACAACATCTTTTGTGGGCGATGGTGCTTTGTCCAAAGCTGGTTTGACGGGAACCTCTTTTTGTTGATCTTTCGGGCTCGAAGGTTTCACTGGTTCTACAGTTTCCTTTTCAGTTGGTGTTTGAACTTTCTCCTCAGGAGTGACCTCTTCTAACTTGTCCTTAAGATCCTCTGTGGGAGAGGGCTCTTTGTCTGTAACTGGTTTCTTTTCTGAAACTTCCTTTTCCTCTTTGGGGCTTAGAGGTTTTAATGCATCGGGTTCAAGTTTCTCGATTGGAGATGGGGTCTTTTCGCTAACAAGCGTTTCCTTCTTGATTTCTTTGATTTCTGTGATAGGCGAGGGCTCCTTATCAGTGACAGTCTTTTCAGGTAAATCCTTTACTTTATCCTTAGGACTGGTAGGTTTCTCAGGCTCGGGCACAACTTTGTCGACGGGTGTCGGCTCCGGCTGTGCAGGTTTTTCACCTTCCTTTTCTGGTGTAACAACATCTTTTGTGGGCGATGGTGCTTTGTCCAAAGCTGGTTTAACGGGAACCTCTTTTTGTTGATCTTTCGGGCTCGAAGGTTTCACTGGTTCTACAGTTTCCTTTTCAGTTGGTGTTTTAACTTTCTCCTCAGGAGTGACCTCTTCTAACTTGTCCTTAAGATCCTCTGTGGGAGAGGGCTCTTTGTCTGTTACTGGTTTCTTTTCTGAAACTTCCTTTTCCTCCTTGGGGCTTAGAGGTTTTAATGCATCGGGTTCAAGTTTCTCGATTGGAGATGGGGTCTTTTCGCTAACAAGCGTTTCCTTCTTGATTTCTTTGATTTCCGTGATAGGCGAGGGCTCCTTATCAGTGACAGTCTTTTCAGGTAAATCCTTTACTTTATCCTTAGGACTGGTAGGTTTCTCAGGCTCGGGCACAACTTTGTCGACGGGTGTCGGCTCCGGCTGTGCAGGTTTTTCACCTTCCTTTTCTGGTGTAACAACATCTTTTGTGGGCGATGGTGCTTTGTCCAAAGCTGGTTTGACGGGAACCTCTTTTTGTTGATCTTTCGGGCTCGAAGGTTTCACTGATTCTACAGTTTCCTTTTCAGTTGGTGTTTTAACTTTCTCCTCAGGAGTGACCTCTTCTACCTTGTCCTTAAGATCCTCTGTGGGAGAGGACTCTTTGTCTGTAACTGGTTTCTTTTCTGAAACTTCCTTTTCCTCCTTGGGGCTTAGAGGTTTTAATGCATCGGGTTCAAGTTTCTCGATTGGAGATGGGGTCTTTTCGCTAACAAGCGTTTCCTTCTTGATTTCCGTGATAGGCGAGGGCTCCTTATCAGTGACAGTCTTTTCAGGTAAATCCTTTACTTTATCCTTAGGACTAGTAGGTTTCTCAGGCTCGGGCACAAGTTTGTCAACGGGTGTCGGCTCCGGCTGTGCAGGTTTTTCACCTTCCTTTTCTGGTGTAACAACATCTTTTGTGGGCGATGGTGCTTTGTCCAAAGCTGGTTTGACGGGAACCTCTTTTTGTTGATCTTTCGGGCTCGAAGGTTGCACTGGTTCTACAGTTTCCTTTTCAGTTGGTGTTTTAACTTTCTCCTCAGGAGTGACCTCTTCTACCTTGTCCTTAAGATCCTCTGTGGGAGAGGGCTCTTTGTCTGTTACTGGTTTCTTTTCTGAAACTTCCTTTTCCTCCTTGGGGCTTAGAGGTTTTAATGCATCGGTTTCAAGTTTCTCGATTGGAGATGGGGTCTTTTCGCTAACAAGCGTTTCCTTCTTGATTTCTTTGATTTCTGTGATAGGCGAGGGCTCCTTATCAGTGACAGTCTTTTCAGGTAAATCCTTTACTTTATCCTTAGGACTGGTAGGTTTCTCAGGCTCGGGCACAACTTTGTCGACGGGTGTCGGCTCCGGCTGTGCAGGTTTTTCACCTTCCTTTTCTGGTGTAACAACATCTTTTGTGGGCGATGGTGCTTTGTCCAAAGCTGGTTTGACGGGAACCTCTTTTTGTTGATCTTTCGGGCTCGAAGGTTTCACTGGTTCTACAGTTTCCTTTTCAGTTGGTGTTTTAACTTTCTCCTCAGGAGTGACCTCTTCTACCTTGTCCTTAAGATCCTCTGTGGGAGAGGGCTCTTTGTCTGTTACTGGTTTCTTTTCTGAAACTTCCTTTTCCTCCTTGGGGCTTAGAGGTTTTAATGCATCGGGTTCAAGTTTCTCGATTGGAGATGGGGCCTTTTCGCTAACAAGCGTTTCCTTCTTGATTTCTTTGATTTCCGTGATAGGCGAGGGCTCCTTATCAGTGACAGTCTTTTCAGGTAAATCCTTTACTTTATCCTTAGGACTAGTAGGTTTCTCAGGCTCGGGCACAACTTTGTCAAAGGGTGTCGGCTCCGGCTGTGCAGGTTTTTCACCTTCCTTTTCTGGTGTAACAACATCTTTTGTGGGCGATGGTGCTTTGTCCAAAGCTGGTTTGACGGGAACCTCTTTTTGTTGGTCTTTCTTGCTCGAAGGTTTCATTGGTTCTACAGTTTCCTTTTCAGTTGGTGTTTTAACTTTCTCCTCAGGAGTGACCTCTTCTACCTTGTCCTTAAGATCCTCTGTGGGAGAGGGCTCTTTGTCTGTTACTGGTTTCTTTTCTGAAACTTCCTTTTCCTCTTTGGGGCTTAGAGGTTTTAATGCATCGGGTTCAAGTTTCTCGATTGGAGATGGGGTCTTTTCGCTAACAAGCGTTTCCTTCTTGATTTCTTTGATTTCCGTGATAGGCGAGGGCTCCTTATCAGTGACAGTCTTTTCAGGTAAATCCTTTACTTTATCCTTAGGACTAGTAGGTTTCTCAGGCTCGGGCACAACTTTGTCGACGGGTGTCGGCTCCGGCTGTGCAGGTTTTTCGCCTTCCTTTTCTGGTGTAACAACATCTTTTGTGGGCGATGGTGCTTTGTCCAAAGCTGGTTTGACGGGAACCTCTTTTTGTTGATCTTTCGGGCTCGAAGGTTGCACTGGTTCTACAGTTTCCTTTTCAGTTGGTGTTTTAACTTTCTCCTCAGGAGTGACCTCTTCTACCTTGTCCTTAAGATCCTCTGTGGGAGAGGGCTCTTTGTCTGTTACTGGTTTCTTTTGTGAAACTTCCTTTTCCTCCTTGGGGCTTAGAGGTTTTAATGCATCGGGTTCAAGTTTCTCGATTGGAGATGGGGTCTTTTCGCTAACAAGCGTTTCCTTCTTGATTTCTTTGATTTCCGTGATAGGCGAGGGCTCCTTATCAGTGACAGTCTTTTCAGGTAAATCCTTTACTTTATCCTTAGGACTGGTAGGTTTCTCAGGCTCGGGCACAACTTTGTCGACGGGTGTCGGCTCCGGCTGTGCAGGTTTTTCACCTTCCTTTTCTGGTGTAACAACATCTTTTGTGGGCGATGGTGCTTTGTCCAAAGCTGGTTTGACGGGAACCTCTTTTTGTTGATCTTTCGGGCTCGAAGGTTTCACTGGTTCTACAGTTTCCTTTTCAGATGGTGTTTTAACTTTCTCCTCAGGAGTGACCTCTTCTACCTTGTCCTTAAGATCCTCTGTGGGAGAGGGCTCTTTGTCTGTTACTGGTTTCTTTTCTGAAACTTCCTTTTCCTCCTTGGGGCTTAGAGGTTTTAATGCATCGGGTTCAAGTTTCTCGATTGGAGATGGGGCCTTTTCGCTAACAAGCGTTTCCTTCTTGATTTCTTTGATTTCCGTGATAGGCGAGGGCTCCTTATCAGTGACAGTCTTTTCAGGTAAATCCTTTACTTTATCCTTAGGACTAGTAGGTTTCTCAGGCTCGGGCACAACTTTGTCGACGGGTGTCGGCTCCGGCTGTGCAGGTTTTTCACCTTCCTTTTCTGGTGTAACAACATCTTTTGTGGGCGATGGTGCTTTGTCCAAAGCTGGTTTGACGGGAACCTCTTTTTGTTGATCTTTCGGGCTCGAAGGTTTCACTGGTTCTACAGTTTCCTTTTCAGATGGTGTTTTAACTTTCTCCTCAGGAGTGACCTCTTCTACCTTGTCCTTAAGATCCTCTGTGGGAGAGGGCTCTTTGTCTGTTACTGGTTTCTTTTCTGAAACTTCCTTTTCCTCCTTGGGGCTTAGAGGTTTTAATGCATCGGGTTCAAGTTTCTCGATTGGAGATGGGGCCTTTTCGCTAACAAGCGTTTCCTTCTTGATTTCTTTGATTTCCGTGATAGGCGAGGGCTCCTTATCAGTGACAGTCTTTTCAGGTAAATCCTTTACTTTATCCTTAGGACTAGTAGGTTTCTCAGGCTCGGGCACAACTTTGTCGACGGGTGTCGGCTCCGGCTGTGCAGGTTTTTCACCTTCCTTTTCTGGTGTAACAACATCTTTTGTGGGCGATGGTGCTTTGTCCAAAGCTGGTTTGACGGGAACCTCTTTTTGTTGATCTTTCGGGCTCGAAGGTTTCACTGGTTCTACAGTTTCCTTTTCAGTTGGTGTTTTAACTTTCTCCTCAGGAGTGACCTCTTCTACCTTGTCCTTAAGATCCTCTGTGGGAGAGGGCTCTTTGTCTGTTACTGGTTTCTTTTGTGAAACTTCCTTTTCCTCCTTGGTGCTTAGAGGTTTTAATGCATCGGGTTCAAGTTTCTCGATTGGAGATGGGGTCTTTTCGCTAACAAGCGTTTCCTTCTTGATTTCTTTGATTTCCGTGATAGGCGAGGGCTCCTTATCAGTGACAGTCTTTTCAGGTAAATCCTTTACTTTATCCTTAGGACTGGTAGGTTTCTCAGGCTCGGGCACAACTTTGTCGACGGGTGTCGGCTCCGGCTGTGCAGGTTTTTCACCTTCCTTTTCTGGTGTAACAACATCTTTTGTGGGCGATGGTGCTTTGTCCAAAGCTGGTTTGACGGGAACCTCTTTTTGTTGATCTTTCGGGCTCGAAGGTTTCACTGGTTCTACAGTTTCCTTTTCAGTTGGTGTTTTAACTTTCTCCTCAGGAGTGACCTCTTCTACCTTGTCCTTAAGATCCTCTGTGGGAGAGGGCTCTTTGTCTGTAACTGGTTTCTTTTCTGAAACTTCCTTTTCCTCCTTGGGGCTTAGAGGTTTTAATGCATCGGGTTCAAGTTTCTCGATTGGAGATGGGGTCTTTTCGCTAACAAGCGTTTCCTTCTTGATTTCTTTGATTTCCGTGATAGGCGAGGGCTCCTTATCAGTGACAGTCTTTTCAGGTAAATCCTTTACTTTATCCTTAGGACTAGTAGGTTTCTCAGGCTCGGGCACAACTTTGTCAAAGGGTGTCGGCTCCGGCTGTGCAGGTTTTTCACCTTCCTTTTCTGGTGTAACAACATCTTTTGTGGGCGATGGTGCTTTGTCCAAAGCTGGTTTGACGGGAACCTCTTTTTGTTGGTCTTTCTTGCTCGAAGGTTTCACTGGTTCTACAGTTTCCTTTTCAGATGGTGTTTTAACTTTCTCCTCAGGAGTGACCTCTTCTACCTTGTCCTTAAGATCCTCTGTGGGAGAGGGCTCTTTGTCTGTTACTGGTTTCTTTTCTGAAACTTCCTTTTCCTCCTTGGGGCTTAGAGGTTTTGATGCATCGGGTTCAAGTTTCTCGATTGGAGATGGGGCCTTTTCGCTAACAAGCGTTTCCTTCTTGATTTCTTTGATTTCCGTGATAGGCGAGGGCTCCTTATCAGTGACAGTCTTTTCAGGTAAATCCTTTACTTTATCCTTAGGACTAGTAGGTTTCTCAGGCTCGGGCACAACTTTGTCGACGGGTGTCGGCTCCGGCTGTGCAGGTTTTTCACCTTCCTTTTCTGGTGTAACAACATCTTTTGTGGGCGATGGTGCTTTGTCCAAAGCTGGTTTGACGGGAACCTCTTTTTGTTGATCTTTCGGGCTCGAAGGTTTCACTGGTTCTACAGTTTCCTTTTCAGATGGTGTTTTAACTTTCTCCTCAGGAGTGACCTCTTCTACCTTGTCCTTAAGATCCTCTGTGGGAGAGGGCTCTTTGTCTGTTACTGGTTTCTTTTCTGAAACTTCCTTTTCCTCCTTGGGGCTTAGAGGTTTTAATGCATCGGGTTCAAGTTTCTCGATTGGAGATGGGGCCTTTTCGCTAACAAGCGTTTCCTTCTTGATTTCTTTGATTTCCGTGATAGGCGAGGGCTCCTTATCAGTGACAGTCTTTTCAGGTAAATACTTTACTTTATCCTTAGGACTAGTAGGTTTCTCAGGCTCGGGCACAACTTTGTCAACGGGTGTCGGCTCCGGCTGTGCAGGTTTTTCACCTTCCTTTTCTGGTGTAACAACATCTTTTGTGGGCGATGGTGCTTTGTCCAAAGCTGGTTTGACGGGAACCTCTTTTTGTTGATCTTTCGGGCTCGAAGGTTTCACTGGTTCTACAGTTTCCTTTTCAGTTGGTGTTTTAACTTTCTCCTCAGGAGTGACCTCTTCTACCTTGTCCTTAAGATCCTCTGCGGGAGAGGGCTCTTTGTCTGTTACCTGTTTCTTTTCTGAAACTTCCTTTTCCTCCTTGGGGCTTAGAGGTTTTAATGCATCGGGTTCAAGTTCCTGGATTGGAGATGGGGTCTTTTCGCTAACATGCGTTTCCTTCTTGATTTCTTTGATTTCCGTGATAGGCGAGGGCTCCTTATCAGTGACAGTCTTTTCAGGTAAATCCTTTACTTTATCCTTAGGACTAGTAGGTTTCTCAGGCTCGGGCACAACTTTGTCGACGGGTGTCGGCTCCGGCTGTGCAGGTTTTTCACCTTCCTTTTCTGGTGTAACAACATCTTTTGTGAGCGATGGTGCTTTGTCCAAAGCTGGTTTGACGGGAACCTCTTTTTGTTGATCTTTCGGGCTCGAAGGTTTCACTAGTTCTACAGTTTCCTTTTCAGTTGGTGTTTTAACTTTCTCCTCTGTAGTGACCTCTTCTACCTTGTCCTTAAGATCCTCTGTGGGAGAGGGCTCTTTGTCTGTTACTGGTTTCTTTTCTGAAACTTCCTTTTCCTCCTTGGGGCTTAGAGGTTTTAATGCATCGGGTTCAAGTTTCTCGATTGGAGATGGGGTCTTTTCGCTAACAAGCGTTTCCTTCTTGATTTCTTTGATTTCCGTGATAGGCGAGGGCTCCTTATCAGTGACAGTCTTTTCAGGTAAATCCTTTACTTTATCCTTAGGACTAATAGGTTTCTCAGGCTCGGGCACAACTTTGTCAACGGGTGTCGGCTCCGGCTGTGCAGGTTTTTCACCTTCCTTTTCTGGTGTAACAACATCTTTTGTGGGCGATGGTGCTTTGTCCAAAGCTGGTTTGACGGGAACCTCTTTTTGTTGATCTTTCGGGCTCGAAGGTTTCACTGGTTCTACAGTTTCCTTTTCAGTTGGTGTTTTAACTTTCTCCTCAGGAGTGACCTCTTCTACCTTGTCCTTAAGATCCTCTGCGGGAGAGGGCTCTTTGTCTGTTACCTGTTTCTTTTCTGAAACTTCCTTTTCCTCCTTGGGGCTTAGAGGTTTTAATGCATCGGGTTCAAGTTCCTGGATTGGAGATGGGGTCTTTTCGCTAACATGCGTTTCCTTCTTGATTTCTTTGATTTCCGTGATAGGCGAGGGCTCCTTATCAGTGACAGTCTTTTCAGGTAAATCCTTTACTTTATCCTTAGGACTAGTAGGTTTCTCAGGCTCGGGCACAACTTTGTCGACGGGTGTCGGCTCCGGCTGTGCAGGTTTTTCACCTTCCTTTTCTGGTGTAACAACATCTTTTGTGAGCGATGGTGCTTTGTCCAAAGCTGGTTTGACGGGAACCTCTTTTTGTTGATCTTTCGGGCTCGAAGGTTTCACTGGTTCTACAGTTTCCTTTTCAGTTGGTGTTTTAACTTTCTCCTCTGTAGTGACCTCTTCTACCTTGTCCTTAAGATCCTCTGTGGGAGAGGGCTCTTTGTCTGTTACTGGTTTCTTTTGTGAAACTTCCTTTTCCTCCTTGGGGCTTAGAGGTTTTAATGCATCGGGTTCAAGTTTCTCGATTGGAGATGGGGTCTTTTCGCTAACAAGCGTTTCCTTCTTGATTTCTTTGATTTCCGTGATAGGCGAGGGCTCCTTATCAGTGACAGTCTTTTCAGGTAAATCCTTTACTTTATCCTTAGGACTAGTAGGTTTCTCAGGCTCGGGCACAACTTTGTCGACGGGTGTCGGCTCCGGCTGTGCAGGTTTTTCACCTTCCTTTTCTGGTGTAACAACATCTTTTGTGGGCGATGGTGCTTTGTCCAAAGCTGGTTTGACGGGAACCTCTTTTTGTTGATCTTTCGGGCTCGAAGGTTTCACTGGTTCTACAGTTTCCTTTTCAGTTGGTGTTTTAACTTTCTCCTCAGGAGTGACCTCTTCTACCTTGTCCTTAATATCCTCTGTGGGAGAGGGCTCTTGGTCTGTAACTGGTTTCTTTTCTGAAACTTCCTTTTCCTCCTTGGGGCTAAGAGGTTTTAATGCATCGGGTTCAAGTTTCTCGATTGGAGATGGGGTCTTTTCGCTAACAAGCGTTTCCTTCTTGATTTCTTTGATTTCCGTGATAGGCGAGGGCTCCTTATCAGTGACAGTCTTTTCAGGTAAATCCTTTACTTTATCCTTAGGACTAGTAGGTTTTTCAGGCTCGGGCACAACTTTGTCGACGGGTGTCGGCTCCGGCTGTGCAGGTTTTTCACCTTCCTTTTCTGGTGTAACAACATCTTTTGTGGGCGATGGTGCTTTGTCCAAAGCTGGTTTGACGGGAACCTCTTTTTGTTGATCTTTCGGGCTCGAAGGTTTCACTGGTTCTACAGTTTCCTTTTCAGTTGGTGTTTTAACTTTCTCCTCAGTAGTGACCTCTTCTACCTTGTCCTTAAGATCCTCTGTGGGAGAGGGCTCTTTGTCTGTAACTGGTTTCTTTTCTGAAACTTCCTTTTCCTCCTTGGGGCTTAGAGGTTTTAATGCATCGGGTTCAAGTTTCTCGATTGGAGATGGGGTCTTTTCGCTAACAAGCGTTTCCTTCTTGATTTCTTTGATTTCCGAGATAGGTTGATCCCTAGTTATGTCTCCCGTGATAGCCTTTACTTCCCTTAATATTTCTGTCTTTAATTGCGTTCGGATCTGTTTAATATTTATTAAGGTCTTATTTAAATTTATGGTTTTAGTTGAAGTTATAAATATTGTTATTACTTTTTCATTTAACTCCTTTTTAGTAGCTTTATTGTAATCATATAAGAAAATTTTCATCGTTTTTACATTTTCAATTTCATTGTTGCCCAAAACTATTTCAGTTTTAGTTTTTACAGTTTTCTTCAGTTTTCTCGTATTTTCTCTAGGGTTCAAATAAACTTCTTTAATTGTTATGGTATTTATTTTTTGTATTATTGTATTGATGTCATAATTGGTACATTTTTCTTCATTTCTTTCAACAATATTTGTGTCTTCCTTAGTATCAAATTCTTTTAATATACTATCCTCATCTTCAATATCTGCAAAAGTTGTATTTCCATCCAGTGTTGTGGTTGAAGTGCCATCAAGGTAGACATCAGTTACCGATATAATTGTTAAAGTTTGAACTTTTCTAAAATGACCATATATATCAGCGTATTTTGTCTTTACAGTTTTTGTAATTGTTGTTCTAGTTACAGTTATCTGTTTCAATATGAGTTTTTCTGTTTTTACTATAACATTTTCTTCAGGTTCAGTGAAGATTGTATAGTTTTTCAGTATCAATTGAAATTCTTCATCAAATGCAAGTAATTCCTGCATATAATTTTCATAAATCTCAAATTCTGGTGGAATCGAAGAGTCATCAATCTTATCCTCAAGTTTTGTTGAAGCTTTAGGGGCAGGGAGGATATCAGATTTTATTTTGTTTTCGGTTTGTTTGTCACCGTCGTCTTGTTCTACTGATTTGTCTGATTTTTTTGTAAATAATCCTTTCGCTTTACTTATTTTTTCATCAAATTTATTCATAAAACTACTAATCATCGATTTGCTTTCTTTTTTCTTCTCATCAATTTTTGAAATTTTTTGATCATCTTCTTCAAGTTTACGACTTTTATCATCGACTTTTAAAGACTTTTTATGTTTTTCTAAACTTACTTGCTTTTCATCAAGTTTGTCAGAAATAGGAACTGTAACATCTTTGATACTTTTTATTAAATCTGGACTAGATTTTTCTTTTAATTTACCAGTATCTGTACTAACTTGTTCTTTATCTCTGTCCTTTTGTTCAACTCTTTTAAGTTTATCGTCTACTTTTCTTTCTTCAGCAACAAATTCTTTTTCAAGAACTTGACTGAGAGATGAATCCACTTCACTAGCAGCTGTTTCGATGGTGGTAACTTTTTTTGCATCATGGGTCTTAAGTGAAGATGGTGTTGTTGATGGCACGTCTTCAGTTTGTTTTTGTTGACTCGCTATTATATCAGTTTTGCTTAATATTTGTTGTGATTTGTCACTTAATGGTAATTCTCCTTTCTTTTTTAGATCCGTTATTTTTTCCTCGAGCCTTTCCAAAGTTTTAGCAGTTTCCAAAGTTCCACTTAACCTTCTCTCAGACTCAATGTTATCTTTTAGCAATGATTTCACTTGATCTAAATTGTCTAACTGATCTAAGCTGTCAGTGCTAACATCTTGCTCGTATTCTGACAATTTAGCATGAATTCCATTAACTTCACTTGTAAATTTATCATCAATATCTTTCTGAATTAAAATGTCTTTGCCGTCAGTGATTTCTCTTTTAACTCTTTTTCCATCACTAAGAATAGTTTTATCAGTAGCATCACTCACATCTTCAGAAGTCGTAGACCTTAAAGGACTGCCTTCTTTCTTATGTTTACTAATATCTGTGTGGTCTCTTTCAGTAAAAATAAACTTTTTAGTGGCCTCAATAGATTCACTCGCAATATGTAAAGTAGAAAATAGTTCTGGTGATTTTCTAAGCATAGGAGATTTTTCTGCTATAAGTTCATCAAGACTTTTATCGGATTTTAGGACTTCAGCTACATCAGCCACAATTTTTTCAACATCTTTTGGACTAAGGATAGGTTTTTCAATTTTTTCTAATTTACTAGCCTCCTCTATTTCTTTTTCAACGTCTTCTGGAATAGATGGAATCTTTTCAGGCATTGTCGAAATTTCCTCCATTACGAGAATTTCATCCTTTATGGGAGAATGGACAGTTGTTATATGGGTTTCCCTTAACTTTTCAGTATATTGACTATAAGGATACTCTTGTACATCGTATTCTTTAACAGGCGCTAGTTCTTCCTTTCCAGGTAAAATAGTCTTATTTATTTTGTCTTGGTAAATAGGTGATTCTGGCGCTGAGCCTGGAGTCACAGTAACTAGTTCAGCGTGTGAAGGACGTTGAACAGTTTTGATTATAACGTCATCCAAGATGGCTTTTTTATCTTTAGAAAATTCAATTGTGTGTTTATCCCGGAGGGCTAAATCCCTAGGTATTTCATGATCGATTAAAAGATCTGACTTTCGTTTGTATTCCTCATCTATTGGAGTTTTCTTCTCTTCGTATGTGCGGTAGTCCACTTCTTCGTGTAAAGGTAAATCAGCAACTTCATCTGGTGTTTTTACAATATCTCTAATAGCCACAGGCTGAGTAATGACTTTCTTACTTTTTTCAAATGGTTGATGAAAATCTACAAGGGTTTGAGGAGGAAATACTTCCTTTGTTTCTTCCTTAATATATTTTTCTTCTACTTGTTCTTTAATTTCGTCTAAAGTAATTCGTTCATCTTCGGGTAAGGTTGGTGCGGTGGTAGCACCGGACTCAATAGTAGTAGAAGCTTTTTCATCTGGATGAGATTCGTGAATAATATTATCCATTGAATCTTTTGGCTTTGTAATTCCACTCTTACTATCAGTCTTCTTTTCACTACTTATATCTTGTTTCTCTTCTAAACTCACTGAATGTTCTTTAGATTCTAATTCTTTGGTTTCTTTTTCTGACATTATTTTTGGTTTCATTAATTCTTCAATTTTCTTATCTTTCAGACTTAAATTTATAGAACCTACTTTATCTTTCTCAGATTCTTCCTTATCTTTTTTATGCTTTTGTAATTCGTCTTCTTTTTCATGACTACTTTCACGGTCTGCTATAGATTCTTCAGTATATTGATCAACTTCCTCTTTTTCAATGATAAGATATTCTTCTTCAAATTCTCCATCGACAGTTGTTTCCGTTTTAGTGTCATCTAGTAAACATGTTATTTTTTCAATATCAGACCGTCCAACATATTCAATTTTTTCTTCGGCTTCACTATCTCTATTAAATACCGCCTCAATCTCTCTTACAATTTCTTGTTCTTCTCTATCATCCAATTCTTGCTGTTTAATATCATCAAGTGATGTATCTTCATCAGATTTTTTAGCATCCTTTAATATATCCTCATAATTAACCCTTTGTAAGCCTTTTATTTTTGAAGAGTCAGATTTTACCGATTTTAGTGTTTTTGTAGGACTCTTTACGGCTTTTAGACCTTTAATTGGAGATCCAAGCGGTCTAGGTCTACGGGAAATCGGTTCACGTTTAGGTTTTGGTTCTTTTTTATCAGGTAATTTTGTCGTTGGTTCTCTTTTCGGAGAAGCTTGTTTGTACTTTGATTCTGCTACACGTCTGTTATTTGCTTCTTTTGTACTTTTAGCAGGAGTACTTCCTGGACTTAATTTTCTTATTTTTCCTTTAATTTTGTCTTTTACCGTCGTTGTTGCTTTTGTATCCGAAATTTTTTTTGGTGTTGTAGGAGGAGATTTCTTTTCATCTACCAGATTTTTTTTCTCCGGAATACTTTTCTTCTCTACTGTTTTCTGGAGTATTCTTTGACTCACTTTACTCTTTGGTACTGAAGCTGTAATATCAGGTTTCGTTCTTTCATGTTTCTTTTTATAATCGAACTTTATTTTATCGCTTTCAGATCGTTTTACCTCACTCTGTTTTAATGCAGTATCTTTTCCGTCATCCGACTTTTCAGTTCGCTTAATCTTTTTGTCGATAATTTTTTTCTTTCCCTCTTTCTTTTTTGACATACTGTCTATTACATTATTTTCAAATTGATTAATTTTATCGTCTAGTTTTGTATCAACTCTAGCAGTAATGGCTTCATTTAAAACGGATTCTATTTTCTTTTCTTCTCCGTCTACTAATTCATTTAAGAGTTTGTTATCTATAATATTTTTTGAATCTGTTTCATCTTTAATAAACTTGTGTGAGGAGTCTGATTCCATATTTTTATCTTCTTTCTTTTCTGTGATTATGCTTTTTTCTTTCTGACCTTTACTTAAAACTGTTTTTGTGGATTTTAGAACCGTTGTTGTTGTTGTTGCCGGCGGTGGAGCCGTAGCACTCATCTGTCTTCCTGTGTATGTAGGATATTGCAAAAATTCTAAATGCTTTAACTTTTCAAGTCCTTCAAATATTTTATGTTGGGGCGTTGAGCCTGGAAACATTATCCTCGTAATTGTATCGTCTGGATTTGCAGGTCGCCATACTAAAAGGGCACATATCGACACTAAATTTGGAATTGGAAAATTGAACTGTCCTGATATTTTTGCACTTTCAAATAACTTTTGTTCACTATTATGCCATTTTTTAAGAAACTCTCGCACATATTTGGAGTCCTTGGACGGATTAAGCACGTACATATCTAACGTTCCTGCAAAAACAAAAGTTCAATTATTATTATTTATTACTATTTAAAATTTATTATTTCTATATTGTTGAAATTATTTAATATTATATTATTATATATTAATATTATAGTAGTGTCATAAGTATATCTAACTAATAATTTGTATTCTTGAGGGTGTAAGAAAATAAAGTTCGTTGTCACTAAGAATTCAAACTGATTCAACGTGGTTTAATAGATTATGGGCCCAGAAATATTTCCAAGTGTGTAATTTTGTACTAGAACTGATAAAAGGACTATAAAGTAACTAGTGACAATCGTGTTGTGCCAGAAATTTGTTTTAGACTAATAGAAATGGCTGTGAACTCTTATATAACCAGTGTGCCAAAGTTGAAGGGACTCGAAAACTATAACCAGTGGGCGTTTGCCGCGGAGAATTTACTTGTACTCGAAGGTGAACTAAATTGCATCAAGACCGAGAGTGCTGAGGTAGCCGTGGACGATCCAGTAACGAAGGCCAAATTAGTTCTAACCATTGATCCCTCATTATACGTACACATTAAAGATACTAGAAATACAAAAGATTTGTGGTTTAAATTGAAGCAAATGTTCGATGACTGTGGATTCTCTAGAAGAATAACCCTATTAAGAAATTCAATATCTATACGTCTTGAAAATTGTGACAAGCTACGTGACTCAAATTATTGAAACCGGACAGAAGCTATCAGGCACTGAATTTAATGTAAATGATGAGTGGATTGGCTGTTTGATGTTGGCGGGATTGCCGGATAAATATTTCCTCGTGATCATGGCGATCGAACATTCTGGAATCGCCATAACGGCGGATGTAGTCAAATCGAAATTGATTGGCATGGCCGGAATTGATTTAGCCACAAATAATGCATTGTTCACTAGAGGGCATCACTTTAGTCAAAGAGAACGAAACCATAAACCTAGCAACTCGAACAAAGATGGCGAAACTTCATATGTCAGAATTGTCAATGTTGTCAACAATAACAAACGAAAAATAATTAAGTGCTATCGTTATAAACAGGTCGGACATTACAAAAATCAATGTACTCAAGAGCAGAATACGAAAGTAAAGAATACTAACGTTTTTTCAGCTGTGTTTCTGAGCGGAAACTTTAGTAAAAATGATTGGTATTTGGATTCCGGAGCCAGTGTACACTGTACATATGACAAATGAAGTAAACAATGTCCGAAATAGATCCAACGAAACGAGTATTAAGGAGATTATAGCTGCTAATCGGTGTGCTATGCCAGTGTTATGCTCGGGAAGTGTTGACATCGTGACCATTACTCCCAGAAATAAGGAAGGTGCAGTCACGGGTATGGATTACAAGGACAAAGCTGTTATTAACAACAGTACATGTGTTGTTTGTTGTGAAGGGAAACAATCAAGATTGTCTTTCAACCATATAGGTAACCGAAGTACTGAGACATTGCATACTGTTCATGCTGATCTATGTGGCCCGATGGAGACTACTTCAATTGCTGGATGCAGGTGTTACCTCATTCTTGTTGATGACTATACCCATATGGCATTTGTGCATTTTCTAAAAGCTAAGAATCAAACATTTAAATATTTTAAAGAATTTAAATCTTTAGTTGAAAATCAACAGAATAAAAGGTTTAAAATATTTAGAACAGATAATGGTCTAGAATTTTTAGTAGAGAATTTGAAAGCTACTTGACTGAAGCTGGTATCATTCATCAAAAGACTAACACATATACTCCAGAACAAAATGCTGTGAGTGAAAGGATGAATCGGACTATTGTAGAGAGGGCTCGATGCATGTTATTTGATGCAAGATTAGACAAAACTTTTTGGGCTGAGGCAGTAAATACTGTAGTTTACCTCAGGAATAGGTCAGTAGCAACAGGATTAAATAAGAGGACACTATTTGAGCTTTGGACAAAAAAAAAACCAGATCTGAGTCATATGAGAATTTTCGGAAGCCAGGTAATGATGCATATTCCAAAGGAGAAGCGACTTAAGTAGGATACAAAGTCTAAACTACACATACTGGTTTGATATATGACCCAGATAAAAGATCGGTTATTATAAGGAGAGATGTCATTATACAAGAAAACTTAGAAAGGAAAGTTATTAGTTTCAGTGGGGGACTTACTCCCGATACCAGATGTTGACTGTGATGTGAAAAGTTCGCATGAGACAAATAATAAACTAGTGGATCAAGATACTTCTATAGAATCTGAGTATGAGGATGTTGAACCTGATTTGAATTCTATGTTACAGGAAGCTGAACAGGAGAAAGAACAAGATATATAAATAAAAGAAAAAGACGACCCCCAAAACGGTTTGGATATTCAAATTTATGCACTTCATCGAATGAGAAGCTGAAGGATCCAGTCACTGTTCAAAATGCTCTTCAGAGTTCATGTCGAGATAATTGGATTGCAACTATGAATGAAGAACTTCAAGCGTTTAAAGAAAATAATGTGTGGACTGAGTTGGACAAAGTGCTGTCTGATAAAACAATAATACAGTGCAAGTGGGTATTCAAAACGAAGTTAGAGAGTGATAAGAGTTATAGAGCTCGTCTTGTGGCAAAAGGGTTTACTCAAAAACCAGGTGTAGATTATGATGAGACATTTTCTCCGGTGGTGCGTCACTCTACTTTTAGAATGTTATTTGCCTTATCTGTACAGTTAGACTTAAATATTACACATCTAGATGTTAAAACTGCCTTCTTAAACAGTCTTATCAAAGAGGACATATATATTCACCATGTATGTATTTAAATAATAAAACTGGTAATAAAATTGTTAAATTAAATAAAGCTATATTTGGCTTGAAGCAGTCAGCTAGATCATGGTATGAAAAGGTTGATAATTCTTTAAGTGAATTAGGATTTAGTAAAAGCCATCTAGAGCCATGTGTATTTAAAAATTTTAAGAATAATGTAAAAATTATCATAGCCTTGTATGTTGATGATTTCTTTGTGTTCTCAAATGAAAAGATGGAGACTGATAATTTAATTGCTGTATTGAGTGCTAAAATTTAATATTAAAAATTTAGGAGAAGTACAACAATGTTTAGGTATGAGAGTAAAAATTGATAAAAATTCAAATGTTGTTACTTAAGATCAGGAACATTATGTAAATCAATTGTTAGATAAGTTTAATATGTTATATTGCAAAGAAGCTAATACACCAATGGAATATAAGTTGAAGTTAGAGAAAGGTGATGTTTGTGATAGTCTTATGCATTTGTCAGTGTTGACACGACCTGACATAGCCTATAGTATAAGTTTTTTGAGTCAATTTTGTAATTGTTATAATAAATTTCACTGGGGATATGCTAAGCGCATTCTTAGATATTTGAAGCGAATCAAACATTTTTGTTTAAAATATGTAAAAGGGACAGCTGAACTAAATGGTTATGATGCTGATTGGGCAAGTAATTGAATTCATCGTAGATCATAGGTTACTGTTTTGTTATGTCCGGGGCAGCTGTTTCTTGGGAGAGTAGGAAGCAGAGGACTGTGGCCCTTTCAAGCATGGAAACTGAGAATATGTCAATAACGGAAGCTTGTAAAGAAGCCATGTACCTCAGAACTTTGCAATGTGAAATTACTAATCACTAATCACATTTAGTGAAATTAAAAAACACATTTATCCTATAGTTTTGTATAAAGATAGTCAAAGTGCTCAAAAGCTGGCAACTAATTATAGTTTAAATAGAAAGAGCAAACACATAGATATCAAATACCATTTTGTATAAGATGCTGTCAAAGATAAAATTGTTATTTTAAAATATTTGAGAACAAATGAGATGCCAGCTGATATACTAAGGCTAAACATTATAATTGTGTAAAAGGATTAGGTCTTGTTGAAATGTAATAACAACTCAATATAGTAGTGTCATAAGTATAACTAATAATTTGTATTCTTGAGAGTGTAAGAAAATAAAGTTAGCTGTCACTAAGAATTCAAACTGATTCAACGTGTTTTAATATATATAAATAAAAGTTAATAAATAAATAGATGAAATGTAAAGAAGTAAGAAATAGTTTAAATAATATTTCAGATGAATATTGAACAATACACAAATGAAACTTAAAATATTTCACAAAAAGTGTAGTTAATTGATTTGGTATTTTTATTTTAGAATATAAAAATAACAAAGTTTTAAAATCAAATGGCAATAATTATAACAATAAAGTATATAATGTATCGCTCATCTTGGTTTTGTAAATTTTGTAAATACACAGTCTTTTTATAAGATGGATTTAACAGATTATTGCCAAAAAAGCTTTATTATGGACAATTATACGAGCTGCAGCATCATTTTAAATAGGTTCATCGTATTAAGAAGAGTGCAGTACTCGTAGAATCCAAACCAATGAGTTTTGCGCCACTAACAAGAATGTAGTTTTTGATATACCACAATTGGGTAAATGAGTGTTTAATTTAATTTTTGTTCTCCGTTAATCAATGATAACCAATGATTGTTGGCTGTTGTCTTTCATTAGGTGTTATTTAAACTAAAATATACTAGTTGAAGTGAAGGCAATGGAAATATTGTGACTATTATTTTTGCCACCTAGTAACATTTTGTATTTTCGAATTATCACTCATGGGTTCATAGTTTTGGTTATATTTACATACAAAATTTCATAAATAGACTTCATAATTAATTAAATATTTCTACGATGTCTAACAACTAAACAAAGATAAAAAGAAGAGACGTACCATGTCCAACTTTATGGTATAAATTTATTGGTTCGGGACTTCTATAACAGTGTTGGGGCTTAAGATTAATGTGTCTGAGATCAGTCATCATATCGGAGCCTGTCTGCAGCAGTGAAACTAGTAGAGGATCCACGTCTTTGTCGCCGTCTGGACTAGCCAGCGCTCGACGTTCCTGTAAATATAAAAATATAGTAAACTTATTATTATAGAAACAAAAAAAAGTGATTCATTTTGAGAAATTGTAATCTTTTCTCTTTGAAGTGACTGCTCCTTAAAAGTTGAACTGGATTTTGTACTTACTTCAAGGTTGCAGAAGAAATGTCCGATTTGTGGGTAAACGCTGGCGGTGGCTTTCCGATGCAGTACAGAAGCCATTCCAGACACGGAACAATTGTTTATTCTTGTGAATAAGACAGCGTCAAGACGATCCAAGTGGCGAGCAAAATCCCACCAACATGCTTTACGGGAAAAGCCTCCGTCAACTGAAATTAATATTTAAATCTATTATTTTCAATCCCACTCTTTTACATAAAAGTCTAGTGAAATATTTGTTATAACAAAATCAAATATTTAATATCACTATATCAATATAGTGTCATATCAATATGAATCTAAATTAAATTAATTAACACTCATAAGTCAAGAAAGCAAGGAGTAAAAAAATGTGTAATAATTAAAATATAAAAGATATTTTCGAGACACTGCTATCATTACATCTGTCCCAAAAGTTAATGAAAAGAATTGACATATGGAACAAGATTCTAAGCAATTTCCTTTTTAGTCTAATCTAGCCTATCAGTGGTCGCTTAGTGCTTCCCAGATATAATTGTAATTGAATGATGTCGCTTATATTTTTGTGATCTATAGTAAGTATATTGATTTACTCATTCTATGCAGCAAATTTGATAGTGACATATACATTATATACCGCTCGGATTGATAGTTTGCTTACAGAAAACCTATCAACTCTTTCTTAATTCTCTGTTTGAAGAACATTTTCCTACTCAAATGAAGTACGTTCTTATAGCACCTTTAGAAATCTCTATATCTCTTGTGTAATAATTGATTCTATGTAAATTATTATGCTGTTATCTCATCAAATCGAATGAACAATAATGAAATGTCTTTGCCATAAATTTCATTGTAATATGTACTTGAATATGTAACAAATATTGTAGTAAGAGTATCAAGATCTAATAGTTATTGAACAGAATTTTAATACTAAGTTGTTATTTTAAAATTTACCATAATTCTTTTTGATTTTTCATCAATGAAGATATTGTTACTTTTACAGTTAGCGAATTCATTAGCAACGTAATATTTTACCTGTAATTATTTTTCCTTTAAAAGAAAACTGTTGTTTTTAATCATTCGGAAAAAACAGTCTGACAAAAATAAGAATAAATGTTTTTATTATTTATAATAGTTTAATGTATGATCTCAAAAACTTTCTTTAAAAAGGTCTCTTTGAGAGCTAGCAGTATTTTGGGGCACGTTACAAGATACTCGACGTAAAAGCACTTCGCTTGACATTAATAAATATCTACGTTGTAAATAAATTTATTTTCCATGAAGAATAAGAATACATTTAAAATATTTTTTGCTATATATAATTGCTATTTTTCTAGCTTAAAATCTTTAGAGCGATAATATGAATGGTCCATATAATTATTGTGTTTAAGCAAAATTTTAATAAGTAAGGAAAAAGTTTCAGTCAATAATTTTCTATAAAAAGTAATATCTTTAAAAAAATTTACTTTAGAAAAATGAATTTCTTAATTAAATAAGCTATCAATCGATTAATTTTATAACTACTATCAGAAGTGAATGAATAGAAATGTTATCAATATTATTTTACTTTTAATTTTAAAATAAAAAGTCTGAATCCTAAATATTTATTTAACACTTCACAAAATATATAAATCAACCGGAACTAAATACAATAAAAGAATAGAATTACTTATTTCGTATAATTAAAGAAAGAAATAATTTAATGAACATACTATCATTAAAATATACAGATATAGAAAAAAATATAGATCGTACTTAAATCTAAAAATAACTATTGCAGTAAATGTTAAGTTGTAAGTTAAAGTCAAATTGTACGGAGAAAAATATGCTTGGCTTGCTTCCAGTGACAGACAAAAGAGCAATTACAAGCCATGCAGATTCATGTACACAATGAACACTGAAATACTTAGTTTCTGCAATTGTGTAATTACGCTCAAATAACAAAATATGTATATATACATATATATGTTTATATTTAAAGATGTAAGCCATTCCTATGTACAAGCTTCATATGTATTTTTATATATTTAGTAAGGTTTAAATCCTATACGGATTTGCTTTTACAGACCTCCTCATGCGAAAAGTTCACGTTGATACGTGAACGTAAAAGAGGCTCTACGAACCGTGAACGCGTCGCTTACGTATAAAGTGACGTAGATTTATATAATGACATGTTATATAGGTTTATATCCGACGAAACCTTTTACGACCATTTCGGTTGTAAAATACTAAATGTAACAATTCACGTATTTGTTATCGAAAACATTGAGGGAATTCAAATTCTTATAAAACAATGTTTTGAATATAAATATAGCAACAAGCCAGACTCCAAATTAGGTATTTTTTTATCCCCATCTTTTACGTCCTGAGATTTTTAACCCACGAATGGAGCCATCTAGATTTAACTGATGATTTTAATAGCCAATTCTGTAATTTTCAGCACAAATAAAACATATGACATCACTTAAATTTCATGCTCAAAATATTAACAAATAAAAAAGTGACTTCTGTTTAGAAAATATTTTGCCAAAATTCGTAGTTCCAAAAACGAATTGTCAATAAAAGGTGAATTAAATTTTAACTATTAAATAATTAAATGTGTATAAAACATAAAAGTTGCCGAGGGCGCGGGTTCGATCCTGGCCCGGGTAAGTACCAATGTGATTTTTCCGAATCATATGTACTTTCTAAGAATATTTAGACATCACTGATTAATGTTGATTGCCAAAAGAGGGTTGATGTCAGGCAGGCGGCCGGTCGTAGAAATAAAAAAGCCAAAACCATTCACAACATGTAAGGCAGACCCTGGTTATAGCTGGGAAAATTGCCAGGTAGAAGAAGAAGGAGAAAACACTTACCGAGCATATTAAATCCGTTAATTCCAAAGAGTGCGGCGTCTCCTTGACCACCAGGGAACACGTATAGAGTTGGGTGACTGAATCTAATGTTGCCAACCACATCGCTAGATATCAGGAGCTGTTCCAAACTGGCTGGAACTATGAATGGTTCCAGGTATGCTGGAAATAGAATGACATATGATGTGAATAATTATTAATTATTATTAATTGGTGAACCGAAGTTATAGACTGATATAGTTTGACGTAACGAGATCTAAGATTTTCGCGAGTTTTATTCATTTAAATGAAACTAATATTTTTCGAATATACTACCCGTGCTTTGTTTTTGTAAAAAAATACATAATCCCGACGCTTAGGCGACTTTTCAGCAACCATTATCACGGACAGACGAGATGTCGCACAAAAATAAAGCACGCGTTTTATATTCGAAAAATATTAATTTCAATTAAATAGCTTGACTTGTTCGCCCAGGTATGAGAGAATATTATTTTACGTTGTATATATATGCTATATGAGTTATGTAATATTAATGAATGTAATTGACATCTAATAAATAGTAAAATGACATATTAAAGTATAAAACATTAATTAAAATAATATACGAATACGAGTACTATAAAGAACGTGATATTTGGTACTCGTGTTAAAGTAAGTTGTTAAATAATATTATCATCAAATAAAATTTCATTTTAATAATTGTAATACAATTTCTGAACAATAACTATCTACTGATTTTCAAGTTTCGTTGAATATGCGGTTCCATTTATTCAAATAGTTTGTTAAAAGCAAAATACAATTGCTCTTAAAATTATAGCGGCGCGGGAAATTTTGTTAAATTTCGTTAAATAAAATCTCTTGACGTAATTGAGTTTTGTTTTGTGGAGGGCTCAGCTAAATGTGGGAATATTCAACATCTTGGAATTAATTAATTGCGTTGATTACTTTAAAAATTCGAAGCTTATTTGTTGCGAGAGAATTTAGCGTATTCTTCAAAAGTAAGTTTATTATTTCGCTTCTTAAGTTAAATACATATTGAAAATACTATTTATATAATTTTTTTGCGTGATGTAGTCTCAATAATGCCAAAAAGTAATTATTTTATAACCACATTTAAGACTAAAAGTGTTTGGTTTGTGATTTTTATCGTAAGTTCCATCTAGGCTTGCAAAAAATGTTTTAACTGGAGCGGCAATATTGCTACATTGATTAGATCACCTGGGGTAGGGCTAGCTTTTAGGTCAACAGGTTGACCTGAGTCAATTACCAAGTTCTCGCATGCTAACGAAGTTTGGGGAGCAAATATGACCTGAACATTACACGAGAGATCATCAACGCCCTATGAACTATGTAGGCCAAAATATATTTAAAGATAAATTATTTATTCTATAATATTTTGCAATATTATATTATTTCTTATATAAATGACTATAATATGTTATTTATTTTATTTTATTGAGAGGCATATATATTGTATAATTTAAAATGTGATAATTTTTTTTTCATAGCATCAAACACATTGTTTGATTTACAACTAAAAATTATGCAAAACGTCAAAACTAGCCCTATAAATGAAAAAAATACAATAAAAATGAATTCATATCTAAATATAAAATATATATAAATTTAGCCTAAGCATAATTTCTGTACATTAATAACGCGTAATTAATGTTTCATAATTACTAAAGGCATAATCGTAGCCACGGACCGCTTTAAGCTCGTAAAATTGTACATGATGTTCCTTTAGAGACGTTTTATTTATTTTTGAGTTATATTTAATAACTATGTAATAGCATTAATTAAGTCTAATCTCATTTAGAGGAAATATAAAGACAACTCTATGCTTTTGAAGAAATATAAATGTCTGTTTGTACTTGCAATGAACACATTTTCATTTAAAGCATATGAGTTAAGAAAAACCATGAGTAAAATATAACAAAAACGCAAATCATAAAAAAAACTTCACTTAGATGTGAGTAATGCCATAAAAAGTAACTTAGTCTACTTCTTAATTGACTTCAAAGAAGAGTAAGTTCTTAATTAGACTATTTTTATTATGATTTACATTTTGAATTAACTAATGGTTTTTGAAATTATTTTATTTTATGAAAAGAGTCTTTGTCTCTGTCTGGTTTCATTATCATGAATACAAAACTTGATGAAGGTGTCCTCAAGAAATTGGATTAACCTTATAAGAGAGAAGAGTATCTCAATGAGGATTTAATATGAAATCCAACAGTCATTTCATATGAAAGAAATTGTTTAGTTTCTTATTTTGCAAGGAAAGCTTATCCGGTTGTTCCTTGTACTTTTAATACGGTGGTATGAGTTAAAATTTTATCTAATCTTTAATAGATTCGGTTTCTTTTTGCATTTCAATGAAACTAATATTTTCGGATTTACTACGTGATTATTTTATTGATTATTAACTACATACTCCTGACGTTTCGGTTACTTTACAGCAACCGTGATCTACAGCGAGATGTTCTTTTTATATGTATGACTAATAAACACAAACACACAAAGAAACTTTGACATTTATAATTTCAGTAGAACGGTATAATGAGACGGGAATTGTGTATAAAATAAATGTATGTTTTAATAATGTACGCGTCTCTCATTCACAAGTCAAACGTACAACGATCTCATTTGTTACTGGAACGAAACGCTTCCAACGTCTTTTGTCAAAACTTTAGAAGCGAACGGCAAATTGTAATTTAACAATTCAAGTAATTTATACATAGAATGGAATTGTTGTGAGAGTTTGTAACTTTTGTCATGTTGGGAAACTAATTCGAATATTCCAACGCTAAAGTTAGTAGGGTGGAATTGAATATTCTTTTGGTTTGATTTCTAGTTTGTTAAGGTTCTGAGGACTATTGTAATGACATTATTACTATAACAAGCCTAATAAACTTTCAACTTTCAGCTTTCCAAATACGGTAGATTATATTAAAAATTGCAAGAAGGATAATTAAGATTCCTAATTTCTTTTCCCTTTAACCTTTACTTACTTAATTTGGTATAGGCGCTTCAATACATCTTTTATTCATAAAATAATAAATATATGTAGAATCCACAGTTATAGGTTAGTGGATTTCAAAGAATAACCAATATTTATTTTATAAATGAAATGATTTGAAAAAGCTACCATCAAACTTACATTAGGGCATGCAATGTTTCAAAACGACTATGTTTTTTGCTGCACTAATGACACAATGTTTGCATATTTCGTTTCAAAAACATGCACGTATAAATTGTTCGCTACAAATGTTTCAAATTCGAATTAAATCGATTTTAAATATAACTTTAATAAAAAATATCTATCCAATCATGAAAACTATATAAAATTACCTAATATGACTGATGATTTGTGTTATATTATTTTATTACGTTGTTGCTTAACAGAGAAAATTGCAGAAGCTTCATTTAACATTGTATTTTGAAAAATATTCTGTTCTTATTTTAATTGTCAAGTTTAAGGAAATTTACAAACGATTGAATACTATTTTTAGATCAAAAGAGCGAATAAATGTAAATGTTCAGGTTATGCCTGCGTTCGCTTAAGAACCCAATAAAACTATTATTGGCCCGAACTGAACCCTAACTCAAGTTTCAATCTGGCCTTTGCCGTCTTTGTGTGGAACTTTAAATTATCTATTCAGGTGGAATATTGGAAAACTTGTAATGTATTTTGTGTGCCGCTTAGGTTTCTCGGTGACTGAAGTTGAAAATGATGTGGTTCATTGAAATGAAATAGAGATTTGTGGTTTCTATTCATATGAAATTTATGCATTTGAGTCATATTTTAATGAATATGTAAGGTATTACTTACTGACAAAATCCTTGATGGCCTGAGAGCCAGTGTCGAGTATATCAGTGGGGTTAATCCTTATCTTGCAGTGCTTCACGAACGGCATGTCTGGTAGCTTGTGCCAGTCCCCGCCGGAGCAGTGTATGTCAATGGAGATCGAGTTCTCGTAAGCGCGGATGACGCGCTGAACTTCGTTCTCTTGGTAAGCATCAGTAAAGTCAGCGAGGGAGAATGTCCCATCCTGGGAAAAATCATGCGTTTGAAGGATATTCATATAATGTTCTTCTTATATATCTGAGATTTGTTTAATTCTAGCAGTTAATTAAATGAATTATTTAATATTCATCCCAGTCCGTTACATGTATTAAACGAAACATTTTTCAGATATATTCCTCGAAAATAAAGACTAAGTTTACAGTGTATGTTATTTTATAATACATTAAATTTTGCAAATTAAGTGATATTATATGTTAATGATTCAATATTTAATTATTGTTCTCGAAAATTAATTGATATAGATAATAATTTAAAATATTATAAACGTTTTTAACTTCTATACTTCTTAAACAACCATATAGTGATGTAATTATTTAAATAGAATTCACTATTTTAATTCAATATAAGAGTTCTCTCAACACGATTGTATGTTCTCATTTACATAATAAATGTGTCAGAAAAATTTGGAGCGAATGTCAATCGGCAAAACTGCATTATCCGGATAAATAAATGACATTTCAATCCATTAATGTCACGATGAAGTGAAGCGGAAATTAAGAGCCGATGACGATTTTCATGTCCATATTGGAAATTACATAAGATTCCTATTTACGTGACTCAATAATGCAACATAGTAAGTACAGCTACCGTTTAGTGATTAAGATATCAGTAGTAATGAAAAACGTGCTGATCTTAAAATATATGTACACAAAATTGATAAACAACAAAGAGATTTTAATAATTATTATCAACTATGTAGTTTAGGAGCTGAATTACGCATTCCTAAAGAGGGTTGATGTCAAGCAGCCGGCCGGTCGTAAAAACAATTAGCCAAAACTATTCACAACATGTAAGGCAGACCCTGGCTAAAGCTGGGAAATTGCGAGGTAGAAGAAGTGTTTAGGAGCTGAATAACGATTTTTATTTAATTTCTTTATCATCTGTACATGGTACTTAAAAACCTAGATTATGAAGTCGGCAACGCCCAAGTCAAATTCAGCATGGGTCTGAATATAGGCTCCTTTTTTTAGTGTATTTTGAATCCTTTTCGCCTACTCACTTGCATAATCCATGAGCCGTTTCCAGCGAATGTATATCCAGCATGCACGAGGTGCCGGTGGCGTGTGAAGGAGCTGAGCAGGTTCCTCATGCACTGCATCAGCGTGTTCATCTGTGGGTGGATCAGGATCTCCGTCACCAGGTTCTCTGAAGCGTACTGGATCAGACGCTCTCCTGTAAATTAATTTGGAGTTAAGATCTGAACAGCGTTAGAAATGATGGCTTCTTGGATTTAAAGTAACACTCTAATGCTTGCCCAATAAAAGACTGTCTTTAGAATTGACTTAAACCTACACCTGGGTCACAAGTCCCAGTCACTGTTGAAGCTCCTCTCCCTACAACGAAGGACCCGGCACACGCACGGTGAATATATCTCCAATGACATTCCGTATGTGATATTCATTTTTTTAATTTCTATGACTTTCTGATAGAATCTTGTCTGGAGATATTGTGTCAATAAATTAATTCATATCCAAATTAGGACCACATTACTATATTTGCGGCACAAAATAAAATATGACCTAAGCAGGGGATTCATAATTCTTCCAAATATAGCGACATAAACTCCTTCGGGTATGATTTTATGGCAAAAGACATTTTTTACCTTTTACCTCACGTTCTGTTTAAACAAATAAGAGGAAAGTAAAATAAACGCGTCAAATAAATCTCAGTTAGAGAAAAAAAATGTCCGTTTTCGGTGCGGCTGTGTCGTGACCTTCACACAACAAACGCTGTAATATAACGAAAGTCATTTATCTCTATCACGCTCCAACGAACGGAGGAAACATGGCAAAAAACTATACAGTAAAAACGAAAACGGTCCAAATTTCTAAATGATTTAACATCAAAATATAATATGTATCTGAGCAAATTGTTTCAGTATTATCGAATATAACGTTACAAAGCAGTTTATTTTGTATAAAATATCAACTTTTTAAGGACTAAATGAACAACATAAAAATGCTTTCATGTTCGTTTCACCGTTTTATCTTTCATCGTCTTTGTCTCGATTCAACAAACGTTTCTTTAAAAACACTTAAGCGTAAATATTAAATACGCTGAAAGCGTTCACGTAGAAGGATATCAAATAACATTTATTTAAAACAACTTAAGCGAAAAGCCTGAACACTTTTTGTACCATCAGGGAGTGTTTTCTTTTGCAAAAAGTATTAGAGAAATCCGATAAGGTTTGTAAAAATCTGTTAGAGCTTAGGCATGATTTTACAAAGCAGATTTTTTTACGATTTTATGCTGAAGCGAAAAATATTGAATAGATGTTATCTATATTTTTGTCTTATACATATTTTGTAACTTTCTTTAAGTTTATTGAGCAGATGAACTAAATTATGTAAAGAGAAATATTTCACGTCCTTTATAACCTTGACCCTTTCGTTAGAGTGCGAAAGAAGCTTATAATAACACGAGGTCACGTAAATATATTTGCCTTTATGAAAAGAGAAATAACAAACTTAAAATTTAACTAAAACAACTTAAACAACGCGTTTACTTTAATTGTAAGTTGTTTTATGAATATTGTGCTATAATTAACATTACAGAAGATACGAATTTAAATTACAAACAGACTAAGACAATGATAATTGGTTCAATATTTACTGACGAGTTAAAAGCTTTAATAAGACTTTTAAAGGATCGAAAGAGAAAAGGCAAATAGCAAATTTGTGAACAAATTTAATCTTAACGTTTTTACATGTGCTTATTTCGAGTAATATCTGTATTTTATATGGTAATTAACAAGAACCAATACTTTTTAAATATTCCTTTTGGATAATTTATGTAAATTATGCTAGAAACTTTTTACGGACGCTTTCAGAATTATTTAAACGTCGCTGGATGGGAAAAAAAGTTAGCATTTTCTGAACATTTCATAAGTGTTGAACAGCTTTAATTAAAACTGTAATTTTAAATGCAGGTCTTTAGCTTAAATAAAAAAACTGGAACAGGTGATGTCAACACTAGGAGATGTAGGTGAGGATTTTTAGTGAAAGAATTTTTCTTTTATGCAAAAAATCTAGAATTTACATTCCACACGATAAAATATCAAAAATTATTGAGTAATATTGTATGAATATTAAGTCTTAATTACTTTCTTTTATAAAAAACCTGGAAAATCGAGTTAAAACGATTGTTTAAACTTTAATCCTATCCATAAAAAGGCTTTTATATAAAGCTTTCCATAACTTTGCCTAAAATTTCTCTTTGAACTTCGTTTATATTTCATAAATTCAGAACGCGAACTCACTCGTCCGGAAAACAGATAAAGGAATGATTTACAACGCTGGAATTGAACTGAATTTATGATTTAAGATAACCCAATTAATTACATTAGAGTTTGGCATTCACTATGTATGTATTACCTTTATATTTCAAATCTATTATACTTATAGTCCAGACACAAATTATTTTAAACCCTTTTCTATTGACAATATTTAAATAATCCCTACTAATATTATAAATGCGAAAGCAACTCTGTCTGTCTGTCTGTTACGCTTCCACGCCTTAACCACTGAACTGATTTTAATGAAATTTGGTACAGACATAGAGTTGACCTTGAGAAAGAACATAGGATAGTTTTTATCCCAGATTTTTAAAAGGTTCTCTTGGAAACGCGATATAACCGAACACCACGCGGGCGAAGCTGCGGGCGGAAAGCTAGTAACAAATATATACATTGTTCTTTCACCTAAAAAGGTCTTTTTAATCGAGGGGTAAATGAAGTGTTATTGGTGCTTCATAAAATTGGGTGTTTGTGATATAAAATTTTACGTTATGACTGTTAAACCTCGATAAACACGATACATTTAAAATTATTGAATACTTTGGCTTTATCAATATATATTATAGAATTTTTGAATGACATTTAGTTACTAAATTGCTTTTTCTTTAGTAAAGTTCATCTGTCAAATACAGTTGAAATATAAATCATTGAAAGAAAACAAAACAAGTAAATTCCCTGAACTATATACTCCGATAGCTTTCAATCTTGAATGATGTTGACTTGACATTATTGATAGATTTTCTTTAGTTTAGAATGTTTTATAACATTATTTTATTTATACTATTTCAGTACACTATTTATATTACCACCAAGAATTCCGTATGTTTTTTGAATAGATTTTCGTCATTATCATGTATATGAGATTTTTAGTGAGTTATAATTATTAAAGAATAAAAAGTCAGTGGTGGCCTAGTGGTTAAAGGCCCGCCTCTCATGCACGAGGGCACGGGTTCGATCCTTGCCCGGGCAAGTACCAATGTGATTTTTCCGAGTCATATGTACTTCTAAGAGTAATTAGACATCACTGATTAATGCATTCCCAAAGAGGGTTGATGTCAGGCAGGCGGCCGGTCGTAAAAACAATTAGCCAAAACTATTCACAACATGTAAGGCAGACCCTGGCTATAGCTGGTAGAAGATAATTATTAAAGAATCTTTATCTTACCATATCTGGCTTCCTCCCCCTCGGGTGCCTGGGCCGTGAGGGTGGCAAGCTCTTTCTCCAAATCTACCTGGTGCTCTCCGGAGTCCCATGACAGCAGCCCTGGAAGAGATACATCATTTTAGTAACAGTCCATTAAGATAGCATAAGTATTTCATTTTGAATACGTGTTTATTATGAAACAAAGATCTCAATACACTAAATATTATCAGAATATATAAAATGTCTCTATGTGAAAACCTCCTATTTTTCAATCCATTGAAGTACAGAAGAAAGCCATCACGTATTCGCCGACATCAATAATATAAACTCATGCAAACATAAACAGTTCTGCCTCAATATCCGTTATTACTTCCCCCGGGTGAAGTTTACCCGGTTACACAGTTGCGTTCCGACGGAGAATTTGAATTTCAATTATGAAGTTACACTCTCTGTGAGACGACTGTTATATATGTGAGCATATTATATGCAAGTATTTTTTAAAACGTGTGCTTCTTAAAATATTTAAATTTTATAGTTATGCTTATTATAAAACTAAGATTTTCGGGTAATATTACGCTTTTTTTTCATTATTTTACAACTACATAATCCCAACGTTTCGATTCCTTTACAGCAAACGCGATCACGGGCAGACTAGTTTTGTCTAAATGAATACACGGGAATATTTAAGTTATCACTATTTGTGCTTACATTGCGGGTTGCTTAAAATATAATTAAATTTAGTCGTAGTAAAACAGCAATGTACATCATTGTACAAGGTGTCATCAGTGACCTAGTATAACAATTGAATCTAAAATAGGTCGAAAACCACCCGCGAGTCAGTTTACTAATTAGTGGCCGACTGCTGGTACAATAAGCTTCTCACTATTGTCCTGGGTGATATTCTTTCATGTAAGAAAATTCATTAACATTTCAAATAGTGGTTCAAATCTCAATTATTTCTCTTCTATAAATATAGCAGCTATAATTTTTATTCTACGGTTGATTAAATTTCTATTAAAAATGTACTTATTTTTGTTATTATAAATACTATGTATTTAATATCGGTTAATAATAGATTGTTGATATTAAAATTATACCGGTTAAAGCTATCATATTTCAATAAAATCAATGGAGTGAAAAATCTATCGTTATAGACTCATCTTACTGAGCTTACGTCATCAGCCTATCAGCGCCCACTGCTGAGCAAAGGCCTCTTTCTCACATGGAGAAGGTTTGAGCATTAATCACCGCGCTTGCTCAAGACGGGTTTGTGATTTCAAACTTATAATTGTGAAACTATAAAGTCCAGAAATCCTCACGATGTTTTCCTTCAACGTATGTCAGTGGTGTCTAAATACTCTCAGAAAATACATATGACTCCGAAAAATCACATTGGTACTTGTACTGAGCTTACACTCCTTGCCAATTCTGTATTTAAGTTAAAAAAAGACCAACAACAACAAATTTTACGTCTTTTAGTTTTTTGGTCTATTCAGAACATAAATATATGTCAGCAGATGACCAAACTTACATAAAGATAATTTAAAATGATTAATTAGATAATATTTAATTATTCAATAATTATAAATCTTCGCAATTATAATAGATCAATTTTAAATTATTGAATCCCTTGATCTTACTACGCCGAAGATAAATGGACCACATTAAACTTTATATCCTAATATTTTTAAAAAGAACGATATTTTTTAGTAATTTTATTTTAAGTAGGCTTCTTAAATTTAGGCATAAAAAAGTTATTTAGTTGATACCAGCCCTAATTAGTAATATTTATGGCAGTATAAGATTAACAATAAGAGTTATGGGAAGGATTCGTACTTTGTTTCTATTATAACAAATATTTTTACAAGTTTGTTAGTGAATAAAGATAATTACGAAAATAATTTAATATCTATCTTACAAAATGTGATTTTTAAACTATACGCTTTCAAAGAAATATATTATTATATTTAAGAAACATCATAATGTATATAAAAGGCATTTATCTATTTATTCAAACCTAAAAAACGTATACGATGAATCGTCAAAGGAAAGTTGACGTTCGTTTGTTTATGTGCTTCAAATCAAAGTGTAATGGGACCATAAAATGTCTGACTGAAGATAAACGTGGATCAAATGAATTTGAAGCATGGATCTTCATGGCTCAGTAACAGTCTCACTGTAGCGGTAAAGATGTAACTTTATATTTACATGAAAATCTTACAATTATTTTTTTCATAATGTTTTTATATGTTTCTAGTAAAGTTCCTAGTATAGGTCGTGGTTGCCGATGGGTTAAATGTCCACCTCCCTTGTATGAGAGGTTCGAAACCTGGCAAGTACCAATGTGATTTTTCCGAGTCATATGTACTTTCTAAGAGTATTTAGATATCACTGACTGATGAAGGAAAACATCGTAAGGTAACCTGGACTGATAATTTCAAATTATAAGTTTGAAATCACCAACCCGTCTTACAAGCGTGGAGATTAATGCTCAAACCTTCTCCATGTGAGATGAGGCTTTGCTCAGCAGTGGACTCTGATAGGCTGATGATGATGATTAAAGTATACTACATATAATACTCCATAAGAGAGTAGTTTTTTTTTGGTTTTCTAGTCCATTAGTATAATATCGTATAAATAAAATTGTTTTTGCTATTCCAGACGGTAATTTATTTCAAATGTATATAGAAACAAAGCTCCTAATTTTTTATCGCTATGTCTTTCGTGCCGCAGTCCTATAGAGTTCATTGTTTTTGTGCATTTGCTGCACGCGAATGTTTTTTTTAATATTTATTATGGGAAATAACGTTAGGCAGTTATTAATATTAATCGTACTAGCTTAGTGTTGAATTAGTTTTTAGTTATTTTTATGTGAATTCATAGCATTAAATGTAGGCGTTGTCATAAAAACTAAAAGTGGAGCATGTTGATATAAGAAAATGCAATACATTTTAACCTGGGTGTAGTTGAGGTCAACGACCTGTTTTTAGGCGTCTGTCAATCTATTGAGTCGTAACCTCTTTTAGTTTCGCCGGACGTCTAATGAATTGCTGTCACCTAAAATTTATTATCCATTTCATCAGTATTATAAGGAATAAAGCCAGTCATTACTACGTGTGAATATAGTCTGTGGGATTTAAGGTATCGAAATTTTTCCGAATTTAATATCAAAGAAAAATGTTTCGTATAAAAAATTACTTAAATAAATGATGTTTTAAGAGTATTAAAAAAGGCAAACAAGATTAATAAAAGAAAAACATATATAATCATATCGTATATACAATTAATTCGAAGTGTTGCCATCCTTCCATTGAAATTGTTTTGTTACAGGCTGAAGACATGCCAGTAATGGAATTCCCTAACATTATTAACTCCTGGCAACACTGTATGACATCTTCTGTCAAAATTGAATCCACCCGATGAATTATTCAAGATATCTCGACAGGTGATAAAAACTCCTTCTTTCATTTCGAATTTAATTTCGAGTTTCTGCTGATAAAGTTTATCCATATTTACCATATATTAAATTATATGATTTTCTGGCTTTTCTCACACAAAAACTTTCTTTCATATAAAAATAAGGGGTAGCAAAATATCATTTCCATATAAAATAACACACCTAGAAGTAATATTGACATAATAATTTTGATTTCTAAACCAAAACTTTTGTAAAATTTTAAGACGTGAGACAAACAGTAACGGAGATCGAAAGTATTGCATACAATTCTGGGCCCTCAATGTAAAGACATGAAAATAGTATTAATTAAAAGGTTCAAAATTAAGAATTTCTTCATTGAAAATTCTATAGAAATTGATAATCAGATAGCTGAGTTATTGGAGGTTTAGTAAAAGTGAGGTTATATTGCATTATCTTTAAGAGTTTATTTATTTATTTACAACAAGCACACTTACAACATACATATTGAAGAGTTAGACGAATACACTTAAAAGTATGTGAAAAATAATAATTTTATTAAGAAGAGAATATCTGATACGTTATAACAAGGCAAGAAAGACTCAAAGACATACAGATATCGGTAACAAGTATGGAATTTTACGAGGAACAGGAGGAGTGAACTATGTGATAAATGTCATAAAATAATACAAATAATTTTAATGGAATATGTATTTTATTCCTCTTCAATAATAATTAAGATAGTTCCGGTACAATATTAATTGTTGCTATCCCACAATTCACACAGCGATCCATCGTTTCAGTAATATCCAATCCACAAGCCGGCGAAATAATCCAAATTAACAATTCCAAGTCAAACGTGCAGGCGATCGTCGGTGTCCAATGTGAAAGGGTCGTAAAACTTTAGGCGGGTTCGGAGTCCGAAAAGAACAGAGCAGTGGTCGTTGAAAACGTAAAATAATCGGGAAAGCACTCAAAACGCATCGAAAAACACGAAACAAGTCAGACTCCGATAACAATGCATCTGGCATGGTAAATAGTAATTGTCAATGTCATGTTGCCATAGACTATATACTGAATGATTTCGATCGATATGGAATCGATAATCGAAAAGGATGTTATAAAATAATATTTAATATTATTATTAAATTAATACACGTTATTAAAAGTTATTTTTATTGAATTGTAGACATATATGGTATAGTTTAAATGAAATACTATAAGTTTAAAACTAGGAGTGAAGTTTTTATTTTGTAGTTAAATAATCGAACAATCATTTTTTATTTAATGAATCGTTCATCGATTGCTTCATAAAAACAGTTATTTGCATATTTCTCCGCTTGTAGATTGAGAATTTATGCAGATTTTTGGTATTTCATACAAAAAAATAAAGTAATTTTTTAAATAAATTTTGAACTCATTACATTTTGAGCCCACTAATTTCCATCTCCTTTACTCTTATTATAAGATCAGTTCCTGAAACAATAATTCTTGGACTTTTATATCTAGCTTAAAATATGTAATCGCAATTTTTTTATATATAAATGAAAATAATTTTTTACACAGAAATTTTTATCGACAACGCCATCTATTGTTAATCCGTGAATTTACAAAGTATATATGGAGTGACTGATGTTTAATTTCTGTACAAATTTGACCTTTTGGCTATGGTTTATTAATATATGTGACCTTTGTTGTAACAAAGGCCGGTTTTGTTGCGATTCTATAAAAAGCTTTACATACCTCCACAGTGTGTATATTACAAGGGGCGAAAGTCAAACGTACAAATCAGGTTATAAAGAGATTGTTTATAAAAAGATATTATACCGACGTATTTTAGTCTGACAAAAAATTGATGTTATGAAAACAAAAGAATAAAATCGTTTTTTGTTACGAGTCTCAGTCCCGGAAAATGTTTTTGATTGGAATTTAAAAAAGATTGAATAAAAAATTAATCTTAATGAAGACTAAATGGATGAGTTAAATTGTTTTGTAATATATAATATTTTCTATTCATAATAGTTGTGTCCACTTCTGGTGTAATGGCGTCACTGACCGCGCCCTTTTAGTTTTCATTCCAATGTTATCAACGAAGAAAATAAAAGAAGGCTATTGTATGAAGCTTTTAGTAAAACAAACGATTTATCAATCTTATAAGAGCAATTTTCTTGAATATGTTCAGTTCGTTTTCATTAAAAAACATATACATATATGTATTTTAAATATGTAATGTCGAGGAAAAAATGTCAGCAAAGTGTAAAAAGTCATTAAAAACGCTAGGAGCAAGCCAATGTACAAACATAAATGAGGTTTGAAGCTTGCGTTTCAAACTCTGTAATGAAAGTTCTTTTAATATACCAACCAATAAAAACTATTGCTATATCCAAAACTACTATGTATTTTATATTGCACGAGTTATCCTAGAATATATAATTTAAATATAAATAGGTGTAGTTTAGAGTCAGTGGTGGCCTAGTGGTTAAAAGGCCCGCCTATCATGCATGAGGGCGCGGGTTCGATCCTAACAAATACCGATGTGATTTTTCCGAGTCATATGTACTTTATAAGAGTATTTAGACATCACTGATTAATGAATTCCCAGAGAGGGATGATGTCAGGCAGGCGGCCGGTCTTAAAAACAATTTGCCAAAACTATTCACAACATGTAAAGCAGACCCTGGCTAAAGCTGGCAAATTG